TACTAAGTATGACCCGAGTTAAACTACTGCAGATTGGATCCTTCATCATTAACAATGACGGGTACCTGCAGCTAGCTAATCGACCCCTTACATACGTTATGCAGGACTTTGAAAATGAACGGATTCCAACTGATATCCTCCGTGAATACACATATTCCACAGTCGAATCTTATGTAATGGATACCCTTAGAGTACACGATAACCGCATTCTACACCAACCTAACGCGATAAATGATGCCACCGATTATAACAGTCAGGCGGCCACACTGACAGCCATGCGAGTAGCTTTACCCTCATTTCTCGACCCTGATTTTCGGCGTGGACCGTTTGTCATGACCTTTACAGACTTCAACCAGAGCAATATTTTGGTCGATGAAAACTGGAATATCACCTGTCTCGTTGATCTCGAATGGGTTTGCTCAAAGCCGGTTGAAATGTTCCACTTGCCAACCTGGTTGACGTGCAAGGCGATTGATGAAATTGCCGAAGAATCTGAGGAATATGGCAAGATCCGGCAGGAGCTGGTGGATGCGATTGAAGCTGAGGAAGAAACACTTTTAAGCTCTAAAGTGTGTTCTAGCCAACGGAATAACAAGCTGCGCCTATCTACCATATTGAATAAGGGTTGGGAGAATGGATCATTCTGGTATTCGCTTGGTGTGGCTAGTCCTGCAGGTATTTGGGCAATCTTCCGCCGCGAAATCCAACCACGATTTCTAGCACGGTGCCCTAGACATGAGGGTTTTCATAGCATTATGCCGTGGTACTGGAGCACGGAATTTGTGGACATTGCGAAGAGGAAAATTTTGGATAAGAAAAAGTACGATATTCAACTCCAAGAAGCCTTTGGGCTACATTTCAACGATTCCATCGACAAGTTTAAGTCATAACATCAACACTTCTTTCGATTAAGTGTGTGACCTGAGATCCGCACAGTTAACTTGTGCTTGAAGGTTTGGAATCTCAAAAGAATCAAAAATTTAGGATCAGGCGAGGTTAAAGTATTTGTTCTCAGCTCCTTAACCTAGATTGTGAGTACTGAGACCCTAACAAAACATGCCATCCCGTTCCCACGTCTCTCCCATCCACCCTATTTAACTTCTCATAAATTCCTGATTGATAGGCAGACCTCTTTTGCTCACATGTTTCAAGAGGAATCTCATTTTCCAATCACCTTCCAGTCACTCTGGCTATTTATGGTTTGGTGAATCGACCAACTAACTAGATAAGGCGGAAGCCTACTCGAAGTTCAGCGCCCACATAAATCAGCCAAGTGTGAGGCCGTCTGAAGGGCCGACATATTTTAAAGTCGATTCCAGGAGTCGAAACCGGGTTCCATGAAGCATCTGGTTGACGCCCTGGAATGGTTCAACAAGATAATTGGGAATGTGGAGAGCCCAACCCGAACAGGAAGAGGAACGCGGGCACTATACCGGATATGGATAACTTATCCCGCGACCTCCGGGCTTATCGATAAAGAGGGGGAGGAGGAGGTCAAGGCTGTGGTTGATGGAGTGGATGAGATACTAGAATAAACAGTAAAGGGAGCAGCTGCGTATGATTCTAGTTGCATTGTGCGCTGCTGTAGTTAAATGACTCTATGAGAAGATGTCTTAACTAATTTGTAGCGACGGCGGCAAGCCTGGTCCCATTTCTTGATAACTAACTGACCCCGCAGCTCTTCCAGTCGACTGAATGATGGCTGGACATTGTTTCCGCAGCATTGTGTCGTGTCACCATTCCCCTCTTTTTCCGATTTGGGGATCCCCGGGTTGGTGGGGAGTACATTCGGTCCGGTTGACCTTTGTAGGGAATCAATTGCTATCATGGGATTGCCTCGGGCACTGATGAGTGGTAACTATATAAACCGAGAGCATCCGCACCGTTTACTGCTGGCTCTGGGATAAATCCACGAAACTTCGTCTCTCCCTCGCCACATTCACTCCTGCTTTTGTTCAAGGTGGGCGATACTTGTATCGATGGTAGAGTCTCAATGTGGCTAACAGCTGAAGCTCCCAGTGATAGATTATCTTCGAAACCATGTCCGCTCCCGTCGCATTCAGGTACTCCGCCCAGGCACAGTCCAACTACAAGCCGCCGTTGATTGCCAACGACAATGCCTTCCTGGGAGATGTGTTCACCAGGTAACTCGATTCTGTCTCTGTGCCATTCGTGACAAATGCTCAAGGTAGTTATTAGTGAAGCCGAGAACCCCGAAAAGCCCATGTGCGCTGGATTCTACCGCCTAGAGAAGGGCACACCCCTAGTCTATACATACACCTACGACGAGATGAAGATTATCCTGGAGGGGGAGTTTGAGATCGCCGACACAACAGGGCAAAAGGTCACGGCCAAGCCAGGAGATGTGTTCTATTTCCCCAAGGGTGCCACAATCACTTTCACGACGCCATCGTACGGCCTTGGTTGGTTTGTAAGTGTTTCTACTATTCCTCCAGAGTGTCGATGCCGCTAACATCCGGGTGCAGACGGGGCAGCGTAAAGAGGGTGGAGCGTAACGGGACGCCGACTGGCGCGATTTAGTTTGGAAACGGGAAAAGAGACGATTTCACATATTGCTAGCCCTGTTGTTATCATGAGATAGAGTCATAATTGAAATGAATTGTGGCGTTGTCCCCTGTTCCAGAGCATCATGTTTTGCATCAACTTCCGTTCAGCCTTACCCGCTGAGTCAGCGTGTTGCTGGAGCAACTGCCGCCAACAACACGCTGCAGCCCAGTTCTGCTGGACTAGTTTGTTAGCTATTTAGCCAGGTGAGGATGTTGATTCTGGGCTGCAGGCTTCATCAGACAGGTTCCACACTCCCACCCAGGTCGCTTTGACGATGGGCTGCACATCACACACCATTTACTCACATCGTTCTTCTCTTCACTTCCTCACCCTCTCTTGACAACCCCCTTTTATTGCAAAGACACTTCCTCACCTGTCTTCTCCTCGCGCTGAGTGTCCCTCACGAGCGCTTCACTCTCGTGATAGTGGGGTCGAGGCCCAACGTCGTTTGCGCCCCTGAAGCTCCGACTTGTCACCAACGCCATGGCGGTTAATATGCGCTCACAGTCCCCGCTGGGGAAACGAGACATGAGGCCTTCTCAAATCCCATCTCTTATTCATTCACGATCCAACAACGACCTGTATGACCGCCCGCGCACCCCCCAGCATTATGGCTTCACAAGCCCGCTCCATACCCCACACGGCAGTCCCAGCAAAAGCCGGCTGCCCCCAGGCGCGACAGACCTTCCAAGTATCTTCGACAATGCCATGAAGCTAACTCCTTCGTCGCCCTCGAAATCGGTTTTCAACCTGAGCGGGCTATCACCTGGAAAGGGGCAGATTGGCGGAGGCGAGCCGTCGACCACGTTCACGGAGAGTGTGATCCATCGGAATACCCCTGCGTCTGCCAGCCCAACACGAAGAGGAAATCAGGAGAATGCACCACCGGGAGGATCTCGCCTGGGCAAAGAGCCCGTTTTTCATTCGAACCAAGCAGCGATCTCACGACAGGAGGCATATCAAACTCGAGGCAGAGAGCGCAAACATCCCACGCAGACAAGAGGCTTAACAACGGAAGAATTAGAGAAATTGCAGCTGCCGAACGTCAAACGCCTCGCGAATGTGGCCCAGTTATGTTAGTATCCTCGCTCGACACTCCCTTCTTTCTCGAGACGCGAAGTCTTAACTCTTTCATTGCACGCTTTAGATTTTCTCGACCATTATTTTGACCTCCTGAGCTATGTTCATAACCGCCAGACGCGCCAGTCCCAGTTCAAAGCCGCGTACCCTCCGCCTCCCGCCACCTCCCGTGTGGAATACGAAGCGGCCTTGAACAAATACCTGGGCAGAGAGCGGGCTCATCTGCGCAAACGCAGAACCAGACTGCGCCATGCCGACTTCCAAATCCTCACACAAGTCGGACAGGGTGGTTATGGTCAGGTTTATTTGGCCCAAAAGAAGGATACCCGTGAGGTCTGTGCTCTGAAGGTGATGAGCAAGAAACTATTATTCAAGCTGGATGAGATCAGACACATCTTGACGGAACGAGATATTCTCACCGCTGCGAAGAGTGAATGGCTAGTAAAGCTGCTGTATGCTTTCCAAGATGACGAGAAGATATACCTCGCGATGGAATATGTCCCAGGAGGTGACTTCCGGACTCTGCTCAACAACGCCAGTGTCCTGCATAACCGTCACGCAAGATTTTATATCGCGGAGATGATCCAGTGTGTCGATGCTCTCCACGCCCTCGGTTACATTCACCGCGACCTTAAACCCGAAAACTTCCTAATCGATTCGACAGGCCATGTAAAGTTGACTGACTTTGGATTGGCAGCGGGCATGCTCAGTCCCGGGAAGATAGAGTCCATGAGGATCAAGCTAGAAGAAGTTGGCAAAACCCCAGTTCCGTTTGGTCGTCCGATGGGCCAGCGCACCGCTGCCGAACGACGGGAGGGCTACCGGAGTTTGAGAAAGCGCGAAGTGAACTATGCAAAATCCATTGTTGGGTCTCCCGACTATATGGCACCAGAAGTGCTTCAAGGAGACGAGTACGATTTCACCGTCGACTACTGGAGCTTGGGATGCATGCTTTTTGAGGCTTTGGCTGGGTATCCTCCCTTTGCCGGTGCCACCGTCGACGAAACCTGGCAGAACCTCAAGCAGTGGGAGCAGGTTCTGCAGGAACCAGTTTACGACGGCCCGGACTACTTCCTGTCGAGACGGACCTGGGATTTAATCACGCGTATGGTGGCTTCCAAGGAATCTCGTTTTAAGAATATCAAAGAGATTCATATGCATGAATATTTCGCCGAGGTGGATTTTAACAGGCTGCGGGAAATGCAACCGCCGTTTGTTCCGGACCTTGACTCAGAGACAGATGCAGGCTACTTTGACGATTTCGGCAGCGAGGCAGACATGGCAAAGTACAAGGAAGTTCACGACAAGCAACGAGCACTGGAGGATATGGCGGAACGTGATGATAAAATGAGCAAGAGTTTGTTTGTCGGTTTTACTTTCCGGTACGTTGCCACCAAGAACTCCCGTGATAGATAGAGCTTGCTTTGGCTGACTTTCGACAGACACCGTAAGCCGGCAATGGGTACTGATGGGCGGACCAGCCCGCGAAAAGCCATTCCAACAGATGGTTCTTTCGGAACGATTTTCTGAAATCCTACTACACTTCCCTGTGCGCACCGATTCTTTTGAGACTGTTCAATCGTTCAAACACAACAAATGGGTTGACATAATCGCCTTTTCGCCAATATTTTACTTCGATTCCGAGCTGGTCCTCTCAATTTTAACCTCGACAACTCTTTCTCCAGTTTATTTGTTACTCTGCCTCTGCGGTTTGTTTCATCAATATACGAGCATTGTAATGATTCTTTTTCGTCTGCATTGTATTCACCTCATGTTCATGTCTTGTTCATGCTAGAAATTGTTAATGTCCTGTTCCACCTGCATTAATTCTGCTGTTATCACCTGGAACCCACCCCCAACACTGCTTGCTTTGATGGTTTTCTGTTATATTTTATCTGCCCGTGAATTACTACTTGCATAAATAGAAGATGCCTGTCCCAAAATACATCCTCAGCTAAATGTGCGTTAACTAGTTAGCTAGATAACTAACTAGTGGATGACATCATCAATAAATTCAATGTTCATGTTTGTTATTATGCAGGCTTCACTTCTCAGCAAACCATTAGCAGTGCAGCGTACTCGATCCTCCTGCCATTCTATTTCAGAAAATTATCGCTATTATATTCGAAATTATGTTCCGCTTTGTAAGCCCATGCCGATCTTGCATCCCCACCAGAATCTTTGCGTAACTAACGGGGCAAAGCACAAACCTCTCGACATCGTCACCCTCTTCCACAAACCCGCCCTCCCCGCCTCCCTCCGCGCCCTGGCCCTCCTCAAACAAGCTTCCGCTACCGCTGCCGAGACCGCATCCGGCATCCATCCCACAGCGGAAAAGAACTTCCGTCCGCGTCGCGAGCAGTTCGAGCTCGATGTCACGGAGGATCCGCCGACGCCGGATCAGCTGAAGCTGATTATGGATTACATGGGCGGGGGTGCGGTGGGAGCGGGGAAGCCGGGGGACTTGGTGCAGGGGGCGAGGGATCGGTTGGATGCGCTGAGGAGGTTGAAGGAGGATGGGGAGAGGTTTGTGAGGCCTGTGGTGAGTTTTTATCTCCAGGGGGATTTTCGATTTCTTCTGTGTTTCTTTTCTCTATTTGCTGATTAGGTGTGTGATAGGTGGTGGATTGGAATAATGGAAAGGCAGGTAAGGAACCCGGTTGGATTGTCTTGTTGTGTTAACACTACACTTGGGCTTTTGGAGATGGCTGATGCTTGTTGATGGATTTAGTACTCGGCACGAACGAATCTGCGATCCTAAAGTTGCTTCAGCAGGAGCCGCCACATACGCCGGATAACACGCCGTGAGATATTTGGTCGTTCATATTCGTGTGTACCTAGCAATGTCTTGTAATATCAGGCGTCGGCGTCTATGATCTGGGAGGTCCTAGGAATAAAACTCTACTTTTTACCAACAACGTAGATATGGCATTGGGATCTTAATACCCCCGCTGACCTGACCTATATGTGCTAATTGGGGTCCATGTCGATTGGATTCCTTGAGCTGTGACCCATCCACCAATGCCAGCCGGTTGAATCCAGGCTGATGATAACTGTAACAAGCATTCCATACATATGTGATAACTAGTGGTTCAATCCTCTAGCATTAGCTCTATTTTTTCAGAGGAGAGAATGACATGGATCTTTTCATGCCCACACTGCACAGCAGTCGTTGATGTCTCCCCAGATCTCCTTTTGTTCCCGACTCCGCCCGATGAGCTTCCGATCTCCGTCAGCGCACTAAGCCTAATTGGGACATACAGTGCTTCAACGTCTGACTTCGCTATTCGAATGTCGCACTGTCATCTTCCCTTTTTTCTCTAAGATACTTACATGGAGCCTTTGGCAGTGCATTACCTAACCGGAGACACATCGGGAGGATCGTCTACCAGCCGGAGCCAAAGCTAGAAATTCAACTTGAGAGCGGAACGGTCAAGTTGATATGGACCCCTTGATCAAGTGATTTCTCAGTTTGTTGCCGGACCGAGCGTATCTGAAGCACAAGTCGATTGTGTAATCCTCTGCTTATTAGCCGGTATGCCAGCCGGCAAGCCTCGTGTGAAAGTCGCATGCACGTTGTGCCACTCTCGAAGAGTAAAGTGCGATCGAACAGAGGAGGTTGCCTGTACGAATTGCCGCCTTGCTGGTCAGGACTGCCAGTCTATTATTTCACAGCGCGGAAAGTACGTTTGATAGCTCACGCTCTAAACCCGAAATACGGACTGCTAGACCCTAACTGAAGTAAAGGTACAAACGACGCCGTACTGAGCCAGGACTCGTTCAGCCGTCTCAACTACCGGTGAATGGCGACGGTTCAGCTCACTATGTTTCTGAAGATACCCCCGTTGTCAATTTACAACCCGCTCCGTCAACTGTTCAAGAGGTGTCAGGGCTCACCATGACATCCGGCACAGTGCCGGAAATGGCTACTGGTACTTCATTCTCAGGATCCTCCGAGCTGAGCACTGCAGGACGCGAAAGTGAGATGCTTTATTATGGAGATGCCTTCAATTTGAGTTATGTGTTCAATGAGATGTGCAATCCATTCGATAAACCCTTAGACAAATGCTCCCCCGAAGAAAGCATTGAAACGTCTTCATTTTGAGAACCTGGACAAGCCAACAAAAAATCTGATCGACGAGCGAAAGCAACATGAAATTCTACATTTAACGAGCCAGGGTGCTTTTCAAATGCCTTCTAAAGAAGTTAGCTACGAGCTAGTGAAAGCCTTTTTCCAGTATGCTCGGCCTATGTCAGCCTTGATGTTTGATAGAGCAGATTTTTGCCTGAAATATGAATGTGGGCGCGTCTCCCCGCTCCTCTTGCATGCTATCCACTTTGTTGGGATTATGCATTGCGAAGGTACCATTTGCACAACAGCTGGTTTCTCATCTCGATATGAGGCAAGTTGCGCTTTTTATCATAGGGCTAAAGCCTTGTACGATGCGAACTATGAGTCGGATGCCATCGTTAATCTTCAGGCCGTATGTCTAATGTCGCAGTGGTGGGGGACTCCAACTGAACAAAAGTATACATGGCATTGGATGGGCATTGCCACGAGCCTTGCACAGTCCTTGGAGCTCCATCGATCGTTAGTTCAACGCTTGTTTGTCTCGTCTGAATCTGGCTTATGGGATCTTTTAGGAAGGCGTACACCAGCCTAAGTAGAAGGCAGCAGAAATTCAGGAAAAGATTATGGTGGGGGATATACGTGAGCTCCTCACTCTAATGACCATGAGGCTTCTGCCGTAAGCCACTGATGTTTGTGCACAGATATATGATATCCTCGAAGCACTGATACTCGGCCAAACACCTCATATTAATGACGACTATTGTGATGTCCCAAAACTCAACGAGGATGACCTCACTGAGGATGATGAAGAGGCTATTAATCTGTGCATGCTTGGAAATTCAACCGCGGAGTCCAAGCTATATTTACTTTATCTGGCGGACCTTGTCTCAAAAGGTATTCATATCACCGTGGACCCTTTTGAAACCCCCCGCTCACATCCGCCGCCAGTTAGCAAGTGTCTTTTGATGACTTTCGGTGCCAATGCGGATGAGTCGACAAGAACCGAATCTTTAAAAAATTTAACCTTGTGGGAGACCTTTCTTCCCCAGGAATTACAATACCCAAGCTCGATTATTTCTCTGCAGGATGGATTTTGGACTTCCTTGTTACATTTGATTTTCCAGTTTGTCTATTGATCCCCCGCACTTTAAAGAATCCTCTAACCGTCTAAGCAGCGGGTGCCAAATTCTTTTGCGTCGAAATGGATCTCTCTTCCCTGACAGAATGGCTGTTGGTACGGTAGCTTTTGAGGCTGCCGTCAAAATCGTGCGAATCTTGGAAGACTTGCTTTCGGTTAATGCCCTAGCGTTCTCACCTCTCCATATGTGAGTGATCCTCATCCGCGAACAGAAATCGTTTTAACATCTCCTAGACTTGCACCTGTATTTTCTTCGTTGTCTGTCCATATTGCAAATATGCAGGGCTCAACTCCTAGATTAATGGATGTGTCTGAGCATAGAGTTCGCCTATGTATGCTTGTGCTAGACAAACTCCGTGACCACTGGCCTCCAATTGCTTGGAATTACCAACTGTTTAACCGGATTCTTCAGGTAATGGGGAGCCTTTCATCAAACAACAAATTTGATAGAAATCGGGATCCTGTTTTTGTCTCGCAAGCTGCGACATCCAACCCCTTTGCTTCTTCCCAATACAGCCTAAATTCAGAGGTGAAGTCCAGCGATATCCCCATCGATATACTTTCCACGGCCAACACAACTACGCAAACCATCGATCCGTTTACAATGGCGAGTTTGCCAGTTGGTAGTCTACTAATGAATGCAGATTTTGGGATGGACGCATCGCTATTTTTTCAGGAAGACGATGATGGTTGACGGTGGCGCGCTCCCCGCGGCGGTTGAAGACACTCCCAGCTTCCCAATGTGCATAGCTTGCGGCAAGAAAGTACTCCCCTCATTAAAAATGGCTGTACAAATAAAGTCTCTTTTGTATTGAGATTATGCTGCCTTTGGAGCCTTTCCTGCTCGCATGGCGGCTACTCACTTCCGGTACCACATCCTTGTGATCCGTGTATTTCTTATTTTTTTCTGCAGCAGAAATATTCCATACAGCAACGCCTCTGCTGTTGGCGGACATCCCGGAACATAGATATCCACGGGAATTATGCGATCCACGCCCCTCACCACACTGTAGCTATAATGATAATAGCCACCTCCGTTTGCACAGCTCCCCATGCTAATGACCCATTTCGGATCGGGCATTTGGTCATACAACAATCTTAACGCAGGAGCCATTTTATTGGTCACTGTTCCTGCTACCAGCATCACGTCTGACTGTCGTGGAGATGCGCGGAAAATGATTCCGAGTCGGTCTTGATCGTATCGAGGCATGGATGCGGCCATCATCTCGAGGCCGCAACATGCAAGTCCGAAGCTGAGGGGCCAGAGCGATCCTTGTCGTGACCAGTTGACTAATTGATCTGCTGTGGTGCTTTGGGACGATGGACGGATAAATCAGCTACTGCGATCTCTGGGGGTACATGATTAGGAGCCGATCTTACAGAAAATGCTGAAGAGGAGCTCTCTTTTGCCCGTCGGGTTTAATCGGCTTCAATGCATGGCCACTCCAGGTGGATGATGGGTGTAGTTGAACTGCGGATGGTTTTACTATGAGGTTGTGTCGACCGGAAATGAGTGAAAGACAACATCGAAGTTGTAAGCCCGTCGATACGGGAGATAATCTGCTTGACAATGCGTTCATCTGCAGTCGACCAGCATACAAAGTAGGGATGGGCGCTGGACACTGCGTAGTTCAAAATCGTCTAAATCAACGAGGGACAACCCCAAAACAGAACAGAATAGATCAACAATATCTTTTTAAACGGGGATACGGTCGAGAGGAAAAGGCGGGCTAAAGCAGTTGATTTAAGATACTGGCACTGCTCGGAATCGAGTCCATATCGCCGTTTTGCCTCAAGTCGGCGATATGCCTTTTGAGCTGAGAGCCACACGCCCTGTCAGCGGAAACCCCCCGGTCGTTTCATGATATTCTACTACCGACCTATTCTAATATTTATTTAAGAGTAGCGAACAGCCTTTTATGCGATCACCTCGATTGAAGTGAAAGCGATCTACTGTACGGAATGTCTCAACGTTTTGCAGTCGTGTCTGGTGAAGCCAACTCATAGTTCCCGATGCCAGTGAGCAGGCAGGTCAAAGCCATAGTTAATGCTCAACTGCCAACTTCAAAGGGGTCGTCGATTGACCCACTGCAAATGCACTGATAAATTGTAGTTCCCGTCACTGGCCATTGAGTTAACTACTCTGTGCTTAACGTTACATACAATGGCGAAATCTGAACTAACTGCCAGTTTGGAAGATTCACAGGAGATCCTTCAAATGAATTCGGCATTTAGTGACAGTCAGAGTCGTGTATATACATAGCTGGAACCAGACTGCAAGATCAAGTCCAATGTCTGCTCAGTTGTCCCTTGATTGACCCCCCAAAGCTGAGCACCAGTCACAACCTAAGCCAGTGGCCCCTATTTTTACCCTGAATCCATTAATCTCACAAACATCAACACAAAAACTCGCAATTTTACTGGCACTTCAGATTTACTTCTTTTTTTTTTCATCTCCAACTGATAGATATCCTGATTATTGCATCAAATTTGTCATCCCAGAATCTAAGATGAGATTTCTTTGCTTGCATGGCATGGGGACGAGCTCCCAGATTTTGCAATCCCAGCTGGCCCCAATCACTGCTGCTTTTGAGGGAATCCATGAGTTTTTCTACATTGATGGCATAGGAGAATGTGATCCTGCAGATGGTTTGTTTAACACCTTTTACAATCATAATATCCATGAGAATCTAACCTTGTTACTAGGTGTGGAAGAAGTCTTTCCAGGGCCATACTTCTGCCACTATAACCTCCCAACCCACAATCTAGTGTCTTGCGCACATGAATTTGTTCTCGATATAATGGAATTGGAAGGCCCATTTGACGGAGTCATTGGTTTCTCACAAGGTGCCGCACTGGCTGCGTCAATGATGCTACAACATGCAAAAGACAACCCAGAGAAAGAAGAACTCTTTAAACTTGCAATTTTTGCCGGAGCTAGTTTGCCATACAACCTCGATAATGTTGCGGGGCCCGCAGAACTCGAATCCAAAGTTGAAGGATCTGGAATTTTAGAAACAGAGCCAGTAGCGTTCCCAGGGCCTGTTCATTTATCCAGCGCACCGTTTCTATGCCTGTATAATCCAGAGACAGAAACAGAGACGGCGCGTATTACTGTGCCTACCCTTCATTTAATCGGTCACCAGGATCCGTTCTCTCGCCAGGGCAATTCACTGGTAAAATTATGCTCGGGTATCACAACAGTTGTCCGTCATGACTCTGGGCACGAAATTCCGTGTGATAAGTTGTTTGTTCAGAAGGCCACAGCATCATTGGAGCAACTGATCCATACAGTGACCTTCCAGGTATAATTATTCAGTGGACCTAAACTGGATGGATTCGAGACAGTATGGTGATTTCGAACCGTCACAATAAAACGCTTTTGCCAATGTATAAAATGCTAGCTAGAATAATAGATTAAATACACGAAGGATTTGGTGGCCGGTAGTATTGATTCACACTGCGATACATACAGAGGTTTGCATGCGATGATAGGTAAGATTACGATCTATAATACTTGGTCAAAAACAAAAAATATACGTCCGATTGAGATGCTTCTATGGAACGAGGCATGAGGCTATTATCTTGCTCGAGCTCAGCTGCGCATAAATAGGAAAGCAATGTTGAGGCCTTCTTAATAGAACCAATTGACCAGCACTCTGGTTGATAGAGCAAAAAGCCCTGACGCCACGATAGCAATAGCGTACAAGTCCCAATTCTTTGCTTTCCAAACTGGCATCCTCACATCTGCCGTTTGCAGGTGCATAGGACGCTTGCAGACAGAGTCGACATGCCGCCCTTCATGATCTGCAAGCACCTCCTCAATCAAATCGGCACCTGAATGCTTACGTCTGCTCGCGATTCGAGCAATCGCTTTCAACCGTAAGCAATTATGGCGAAAATCACCTGAGGAATCTTTCACAACTTGCGTGACCGCATTCGCTAGATCATCTGCGTTGAAGTCGTGTTTGTCTAGTGGAATGCCCACCCCCGCATCATGTAGTCTCATTGCATTTTGTAGCTGGTCAAAGTAGATAGCTACAGAAACAACGGGGACGCCATGAAAGACGGCCTCGTTGGTGCTTGCGCGGCCGGCGTGGCTGATAAAAGCGCGCGTATGCGGATGGGCGAGAACGGCGCGCTGGGGTGCAAAGTTTACAAACAGCATGTTTCGGTCGCAGCCGTTCGCTAAATGCTTGCGGTGCGTTCCGCCAATTGACCAGATAACTCCATCGGCGACGCGGTTTTGCAGGACGACTAATAGGCCATCCATAATTTGTCGGAATAGCTTGTCTTGGAGAAGAATATGAGTGCCAAACGCAACATATATGATCTTCTTGTGCTTTTCAATAAAAGACAGACAAGGCTCTGTAAGATGAGGGTATTCGTCTTGCATGATAGGCCCGATAGGTGCAACATTGGACGGGAGATCCTTGGGCGTATCCACGGCAAAAAAAGTATTTACCAGAACCAAATGGCTCGGTTTAGGGCCACTAGGAAGGCTTCGAGTTACTCCGGCCCTCGCCCTCATCTTTCGCCGCCACCAATAATACTTTATAACCCATGGGAGGATGTGGATTTTCACCAACTCGTTCTGCAACCGTTGCCATAGTGTCGCGTTCTCAGATGAGAGTACATCGACTTGGAGGCCTGGAATCCCTGGAACGTAGCTCGCTGGTAGCATGCCGGTTGGCATCTGCGGCCAATGCATTGCGATGGGCACGCGGTATTCCGCATGCATGTCGATAACGGCATCGACCAGATAATCAGCGAGAATGAAATCTGGCCTCGCATCTCTGTCTTGCATTAGGACAGAGAGGCTAGAATAAACCGAAGGCCAAGAAGATTCCAGAAACATTTTGGCATCGAACAATGGTTGGCAGTCATTGAACAAACGAGGCGCTTTCCAGTCCATCATCCGGGCGTAACTCGCTCTTTGGACCGCTGGAGCTACTCCGGGCCCTAGGATATGGACCTTGGAGATAAATGGATACTTGTCCGCCCATTTCTCCTGCCCTTCAAGTGTAGCGAACTCGATTGAATAACCGCGAGTGTTGAGAATCTTTGCAATCTCAAGGAGTGGTTCTGTTGATGGGCTGCGTGAGCTCGAGATGATATCTAAACACACTGTACTCACCAGCGTTTGGTTTTCCGCCAGCGGTGGCGACAACCAGTAGTCTATTCTTTGTTGAAGACATCTCCATGGTTCAGCGCTCCAAAACTTGTCTTTGAAGGAATTGGTCTGGGTAACTATGCATGCCTTCATGTAGCGACACCGTTGACAAAACCCATTAATCCGGGGGCTATGGTGCTGTCTGTCCCTCCTTCGGAACTCACTTCACTCTGATAGCATAATCATTCTGCATTGAGTGAATGTTGATCTTGTCGCATCCAGTTGCACCTCACTGCTAGAGTATTGTTTAGTTAGTCACTCTGGAGTCTGTACAGAGTAGAGTTGATGTCCCTGTTATGCTGAAGGTTGCCAAGAACCTCCCTCACATGACCTCCAGGAACTTATTTCAACCTCACATCTCAACCTCTCGCCCTGAGCTGAACTGCATCTCACTATGCTCTTGTGTCTGATACTGGCCTCTGAACATAGGATAACGTCTCACCAAACTTTGGCATTTCCCGACAACATAGAGACACTGAAAATGTTATCCCACCAGCCCTTCTCACTTGCATGGCGGCATGCCACTGCAAAGGAATCCAAGGGAAAAGCCGTGAGAGATGAAGATATCTCTTTGCAATGGGAGATCCCGGAGGCATACTCCATTCTGATGGAGTTTCACTGTCAGCATATGGCGATTCCCGACCACATCTGAACTAGCGCTGTTCCTCAGCAGCGATAAATATCCTCTTACCTGCCCTCTGCCACTCCAGTTCTGCTTTCTCACACCCTTTTTGTGGCCCATCAACAGATTTAACTGTCTGTTCAAGATCCTTTAGCTCTTACTTGTTTTCAGTCGAGCGTGGCTTGCTTCCCTGTTAACTCCACAATGTCTGCCGACTCAGCGGCCAATGGCAGCCCGCAGTCATTTATGTCTGATCCTGTTATGCCTATTGCCATTGTTGGGCTCGCTGGTAGGTTTCCATTAGATGCTTCCAACCCAGAGAAGCTGTGGGACATGATAGCCAAGGGCCGTAGCGCCTTGACGGACGTACCGAAAGATCGTTTCAATATCGAAGCATTCTACCATCCACACAATGAAAGAAAAGGGACGCTTAATGCCCGAGGTGGACATTTTATGGGCCAAGATGTCTCTGCATTTGATGCTCCGTTCTTTTCCATTACTCCGAATGAAGCAAAGGCAATGGACCCTCAGCAAAGAATGGCTTTGGAATGCACATATGAGGCATTAGAAAACGGTTTGTGAAACACTCAAGCGCCTGTACTCTGCTAATATCAACATAGCTGGTATCCGCACCGAAGATGTTGCAGGAACGCAAACTTCTTGTTACGTGGGGAGTTTTACAGGCGATTACGGCAACATGTTATGCTGTGACCGGGAAAATCTCCCTCTCTACTCGGCACTTGGTACCGGAAGCGCCATGTTATCAAATCGCATCTCGTGGTTTTTCGACCTGAAAGGCCCGAGTATAAGTATCGATACCGCATGCTCTTCATCTCTAGTAGCATTGCATCTCGGTTGCCAAAGCCTACGCACTGGAGAGTCTCACATGGTATTTTCAACCTTATCCTAATAAACGATAGGAGCTGACCTGTTTTTAGTCCATTGTCGGGGGAACAAATCTCATGCTGATGCCCGATATCATGTCATCCATGTCATCTATGCATTTTCTGAGCCCTGATAGCAAATGTCACTCGTTCGATGCTTGCGCCAACGGCTATTCTCGAGGCGAGGGAATCTCATTTATAATTCTTAAGCCTCTAGATGCTGCGATCCAGCACAAAGACATGATCCGCGGAGTTATCCGTCATACCGGCGTAAACCAGGATGGAAAGACCCTTGGCATCACTGTGCCCTCCGCAAAGGCTCAAGAGAGCATGATTAGGCAGCTTTATGCCGAAGCTGGTTTGGACCTTGGTGGCACTCAATACGTAGAGTGTCATGGTACCGGCACTCCCGTCGGTGATCCTCTGGAGGCTCTGGCAATTGCAGAAACATTCGGAAAGGCCCGCACTCCTGGTGACCCAGTATTTATTGGATCAATCAAGTCTAATATTGGGCATCTTGAGGGCGCTTCAGGTCTAGCTCAAGTTACAAACTCAGTTTTCGCCCTTGAAAAAGCAGAAATCCCGGCAAACCCATGGTTCAACAAGCCCAACCCTCGCATCCCAATGGATAAATGGAACTTGCAGGTCCCTACTCAATTGATGCCGTGGCCTTCCGAGGGTCCTCGCCGAATCAGCATCAACTCATTTGGTTATGGCGGGACCAATGCTCATTGCATTATCGACGACGCCTACCATTATCTGAGGGACAGAAACTTGAATGGAAATCATAATACTGTTCAGGATTATAATGACCATTCGCCAGCTTCCTCCAACGATTCTGGTGTCGAGGTCAAACAAGACCAGATTCTTTCTCTACGGTATGGTAACTTTGGGGTTTCAACCCCCCGTTGTGTGTCTTTTGGCGAACCAGACATCTTCGTTAATCCTGGCTCGAAGTCGCCTAAACTTTTCGTGCTAACTTCCAATGAACCATCGGGCATAGACCGCGCTGCTACGGTTTATCATGATTATTTATTGCGTCGAGTTGAAACTCTTCAACCTCCTGGGGTGGAACAGTTATTTGAAAAGCTTGCTTATACCTTGGCATCACGGCGAAGTATCTTGCCGTGGAAATCCTTTGCCGTGGCTTCCTCTATCGATGAGCTCGCCGAAAAATTGAGCAACTCCCTAGTTAAACCAATTCGTTCATCTAAGCCTCCAGCCCTATGCTTCGTTTTTACCGGACAAGGTGCTCAATGGTGGGCCATGGGACGGGAACTATGCATGCACCAAGTCTATCAACAAAGTCTAGAAGAAGCTACCAGATACCTTCTTTCCATAGGTTCAGAGTGGTCGCTACTTGGTAAGCTAAGGATCATTTACCCTTTTCAAAACTCTAACTAATGGTGTCTCATAAGGCGAGTTGTGGAGCGAGCAAGAAAGCTCGAGAATTGACTCTGTTGTTATTAGTCAACCTATCTGCACGGCTGTACAGATAGCCCTCGTTGATCTCTTACATTATTGGGGCATCAAACCTGCTGCCGTGGTAGGGCATTCAAGCGGAGAGATAGCAGCAGCGTATGCAAAAGGCGCCATTAGTCGCGAATCTGCCTGGGCAATTTCATACTACCGTGGCCAACTCTGCGGCAAAATTCCTGAATTGGCTCCCCACCTAAAAGGTGCAATGTTGGTCACTAATATTGGTCGTGGGGACGTTGAGAAATATCTAAATCGGCCTCTTGACGGTAACGCGACTATCGCCTGTATTAATAGCACACAATGCGTGACCCTTTCCGGGGATGCAGAATCCATTCACCAACTTGAGACCATGCTCAAAGCAGATGGTCACTTAGCGCGAAAGTTAAAGGTCGATGCCGCATATCATTCCTCTCATATGGAAGTTATTGCGAGTTTGTACATGGAAACCATAGCGAACTGCCGTTCCCTTCCTGATAACAACCAGGGTGTGAAGATGTTCTCAAGTGTTACTTCTAAATTGATCGAAAATACAGATTTGGATCCTTCGTACTGGGTTTTGAACCTAGTCGCCCAAGTTAATTTTCTTGGTGCTATTGAAACTATGTGTGGATATTCCAGCAGCACGAGAGCCCGAGCCATTCGACCTTTTGTCGATATCCTAATCGAAATCGGCCCACATTCTGCACTTCAAGGAATAGTCAAACAGATCTTGAATGCGCGAGGCTCGAAATTTGGTGATATTGTATATATGTCCGTCCTCCACAGAAACGAAGATGCTAGGAAAACCGCCCTGAACACCATCGGTCGCCTATTCCAACATGGGTATCCAGTTGATATCTCTGCTGCGAACAATGATCATACTGCCAGCGGGATGGATGGGTTCCTTGTCGACATCCCGCCTTTCCCTTGGAACCATACTAATAGGTATTGGGCCGAAGGTTACAGCTCACGGAACTACAGATTCAGGAAGCATCCGCGGAAGGATCTAATTGGAGCCCAGGTCCTCGAAGAACTGCCACACGAACCCCGTTGGACGAATACTATAAGGCAGAGCGAGGTCCCATGGGTCGAATTTCATAGAGTTCAAGGCACTAATTTGTACCCGGCTGCCGGAATGGTGGTGATGGCTATCGAGGCTGCCCGTCAGAACGCGGATCAAAGTAAGGAAATTGAAGGTTATGAACTTCGCGAAGTTATGATTCGCAAGGCCCTGGTTATCCCTTCGGACGACACCGGTATAGAAACAATGTTTAACTTTAGCCCTTCCCAACCGGGTTTTGAGGGCTCGGATACAGCATGGCAGAAGTTCACCCTTCTTTCCAGAGTTGACGGAATATGGGAGACCAATTGCACTGGGCTTCTCCTCATGAAATATAAAACTGAAGAATCCCCCATATTTCTTGACGAAAACCAAGCTGCTAATAAGGTTTACGAACACGAGTGCATGCAGATAGCAAGTGAATGCACAATCTCCAAAAGCAACAACCAGTTCTACAAGCACCTCGCTAGCATTGGCATTCACTATGAGGGTCCGTTCCAAAACTTGTTGGATATCAAAAAAGGTCCTTTCAAAACTGTTTGCGCTCTCAAAATACCCGATACTAAGGGTTTCATGCCGCATCAGTATGAGTTTGATCATGTCATACATCCGTCGACCCTTGACGGTATCTTTCAAATGGGTCTACCAGCCGTAACCGACCTCCATGAGGACCTCACGATTGCTCATGTTCCAACATCAATCGCGCGATTATACGTTTCAGCTGACACCCCTGTGAAACCAGGCTCAATGCTCCGTGGTTATGCTACCACCGAAGGAGCTTCATCTAGTGACGGAGGGCTTGCAGTAGTTGTATCTACTCCTCAATGGACAAAACCTCTCGTCATCATTGAAAGTATGAAAAGCACAACTCTAAAAGCTGCAGAAACGGCTTTTGCACATGCTGTCAGTATGCGCAAGCTCGTTTCTTTTCTCCACTGGCAGGAGGATGTTGAGAAATTGAGTTCAGAAGATTTGCGATTTCTTTTTGACAGAGCCCTGGGCGGAACTGGGAACATTGAATCCCGTTTGGTCGAAGACCTTGAGTTTGCTTCATTCATTTATGTCAGACGTGCTTTAAGGGCCATTTCCCTTGGAGAAGCCAAAACCTTTTTACCTCATCTGCAAAAGCTCTACCAATTTATGCAGAGTACTTACGAGCGCGTAAGGCGAGACGCTGCCGATTGCCAAACTCAGAATGCAAATTGGCTGAATACGACCGAGGAGTTTGAAACCGAGCTCCTAGCTCGAGTTTCCAGGGGCTCTACCGATGGTGCTATTCTCTGCGCCCATGGTGAAAATCTTCCCTCAATCATGCGCGGTGAAGTGCTTTCACAAGAAGTTTTAATGAAGGATAACCTGCTTTATGATTTTTATCAGTTCGGGGTTGGAAGCACCCAAATCAACACGCAACTTTCGTGCTACCTGGATCTTTTAGCGCACAAAAATTCAGATCTCAAAATCTTGGAAATTGGTGCAGGGACTGGCGGTACCACTGCTCCCGTTCTCGAAATTCTTGGGGGACAAAATGGAACTTCTCCAAGATTTTCGAATTATACATTCACTGATATCAGCACTGGATTTTTCGCAAAGGCTCAGGAGAAGTTCATACAGTGGGCTCCATTTATGACATACAAACGTCTGAATATTGAGGAGGATCCTCTAATCCAAGGCTTCAAGGCCAATGAGTACGACGTTGTTATTGCAGCTAATGCGTTACATGCAACTCGATCAATGGATAACACTTTAACCAATGTGAAGAAACTTATGAAACTGTCAGTACCATCTTAGCTATCCTTTGCGTTCGGCTCTAACATTATGTGCAAATAGGTCCGGCAAATTAGTACTGAATGAGATCACCAACCCCCTTTTGAGAATTCATATGATTGTTGGTTCATTTGATGGCTGGTGGCTTGGTGAGGTCCCTTGTCTCAACCAATAGTGAATCAATCTAACAAATTTTAGGCGCAAGTGACGGCCGTGAAGTAGGTCCTACGTTGACTGAGAACGCCTGGAATGACGCTCTTTTACGCCAAGGATTTAGCGGAGTGGAAATTTCTTTTCCGGACACCTACAAGCCCAAAGATCATATGTATACCCTTATGGTTTCAACAGCATCGAAAGTGGAGGGAATCTCTGTCCCTCATGAGGCCGTAATCGTCGAACCCGTTTCCATGTCGGCCGAATTGCGAGGATTTACTGAGAAGCTGGCTGACGCTTTGATTGCTTCCGGGTCCACGGTTTCTGTCATAACTTTGAAGGAAGCTTCGTCTTGCGATGTTTCTGGAAAGTCATGCATATTTACGTTGGATTGCGATAGTACTCCGCTACTAGCAGATGTCAGTGCCGAAGACTGGGAGCTTCTAAAGGTTATTTTGAAGGCAAATAGTTCCCTGTGGATCTCTAGGGGTGCCCTTATAAACAGCGAAAACCCACCCGCAAACCTAATGACTGGGCTTGCTCGCTCTATCCGCGCCGAAAACGCTTCATTAGCCCTAACTACCCTTGACTTGGACTTCAATATGCCAATTGACAATATGATTATTGTTGATAAGGTCCTCCGCGTTTTTACGTGCGGTGCAAATTCGAGAAACAGCCCTCGTCCAGACTGGGAATATGCAATTAGGGATAACAGAGTATTGATACCCCGTATTTTACTCGAAACAGGGATGAATGACATGATCTCTTCCTTATCAGTCACCACTACTCCTGAGATGGCACCTTTCAAGCAACCGGGTAGATCTTTGAAACTGGATGTCGGAACTCCTGGGAGGCTTGATACCCTCCGTTTTGTTACAGACTTGGAACGTGAACACCCGTTGGTAGATGATGATATTGAAATTGAAGTCAAGGGCGTCAGCCTTAATTTCAAGGATGTTATGATCGCCATGGGTCAGCTTTATGAACCCGCACTTGGCTTGGATTGTAGTGGTATTGTCAGCCGAGTCGGCCCCGCTGCTACTAAATTCAAACCCGGGGATAGGGTAATGACCTGGAAAGTTGGGACGTTTCGAACCTACACCCGCGCGTCAGAGTCGATGTGTCAGTTGATCCCCGAACACATGAGCTTCAGGATAGCTGCATCCCTACCGATTGTGTATACTACGGCCTATCACGCTCTTTTTAATGTCGCTCGCCTTGAGAAGGGGGAGACTATTTTGATTCACGGCGGAGCTGGTGGCGTTGGTCAAGCCGCAATTGTTCTATCCCAGTTCATAGGGGCCAAAGTTCTCGTGACAGTTTCCAATGGAACTAAAAAGGATCTACTTCAGGGCAAGTATGACATCTCGGAAGATTGTATTTTTAACAGCAGGAGCGACAGCTTTGCTAAGGGAGTCATGCGAATGACAAACCAGCGAGGTGTGGATGTGGTCCTCAATTCTCTTGCTGGTGAGGCGCTACAACAATCTTGGAACTGCATTGCCCGGGACGGTAGGTTTATCGAGATCGGTCAGAAAGATATAGGTAAACGAACGGTCTCCAATTTTCGCGGAGCTGTGCTAATACTTCTACCCAGTTCAAAATACCGGCCTTAATATGGCGCCGTTTATCCGTAACGTATCCTTCCACTCAATCAACTTACTTGACATCCTCGCATATAAACCAATAAAAGCGGCAAAGATCTTCCAGGCAGTAATGGAGCTGGTCAGGCAGAATGTGGTCAAACCTCTCGAGCCAACGGTCTTCATGCCTTTTAGCCGGATCGAGGAGTCTTTTCGTATGATGCAAACCGGCAAGCATATGGGCAAAATTGTTCTTGAGCCAACCGGCCATGACATCGTCCCTGTAAGTAGTGCTGCTACTACTTTAAAACTTTGTCGTGCTAACGTCAAACCAGGTGCTTCCCCGAGGCCTAAAACCGTATAGATTTCGCAGCAACGCGACATACCTACTAAGCGGCGGCTTAGGCGGAATTGGCAGGAGCATAGCGCTGTGGATGTCCAACAACGGCGCTAAAAACATTGTGTTCTTGTCACGGTCAGGATCGAAGAAGCCAGAGGCACAGGAAGTGATGGACCACCTAGTCAAGCGGGGCGTTAAGGTAGCTGTCTATAACTGCGATGTCGCTGATGCACAACAAGTGGAGAAAGCAATTCGGCAATGCGGAATGACCTTTCCACCGATAAAAGGTGCAGTGCAGGGAGCTATGGTCTTGAGGGTTTGTTTTCAACTTTTCCACGGATTTTACAGCATAATGCTAAGTAAATATTTGCACAGGATGCTGTTTATGAGAACTGTACCCATGAACAATGGATGGGTGCAATCCGTCCAAAGGTCCATGGAAGCTGGAACTTGCACAAATACCTTCCAAAAGATATGGACTTTTTTGTTATGCTATCCTCCAGTGCTGGCATAGTTGGGTCTAGAGGTCAAGGCAACTACTCTGCTGGTAAGTTGTTTCCTATAGTAAAATTCGCCGACAACATTATTAACGATTTGCAGGTAATACATATCAAGATGCGCTAGCATATCATCGAAGACTGCAAGGCCAATGTGGCTCATCTATTGACTTGGGACTTATCCTTGGTGTTGGGTTTGTGGCACAGAACAAGGAACAACGTATCACGGGCAACCTACAAACCTGGAACTTTGTGGGTATTGTTGAGAAAGAGTTGCACGCCTTACTTCAATGTGCCATCACAGGTGAGAACGCCATTGGTAATCGCATCCCTCCCCAGATGGTTACTGGACTTGGAACAGGTGGTATGGCCAATTTTGCAAGGGAAAAGTTTCCCTGGTGGTTCGCTGATGCCAAATTTACACACCTTAAACATGTCGACATCCACAAAACCACAGCAGATCAGGGCTCAGGCACTGTCCAACTACAGTCACTTCTAGCACAAGTTACATCTGTCAACGATGCGGCAAAGCATGTAACTGAAGCGCTAGTGCAGAAATTGGCTAGAAGCATGATGGTCGAGGCTGAGAATATTGACTCCGGAAAACCAATCAGCAGTTACGGGGTGGACAGCTTACTCGCTGTTGAGATTAGAAGCTGGCTATTCACCGAAGTTCAGGCTGACATCAGTGTGTTTGAACTTTTGAGCAATGTGCCGATCACTACACTTGCTGGCAATTTGGTTATGAAGTCAAAATGCGTTCCACGGGCTGTTATTCAACAAGGATAACACGGTGAGCTGAAAGGTTGACATGATATATGCAGCGCTTTTTACTGCAATTAGGATAGCGTGGGAGAAATACGCGCATTGTTGCTGTCTAAAACATTTTCTACACAAATTGTGTTGTGAGCAATAGAAAGAGATTTGGGCGATTTTGAAGTCCACAGTGGTAAGAAGATGGTTGTTGCATCCTCATTATTACATAGTGAATGATAGATCTTTCTAATGGCTGGCTGTCTTTACTGCGGTTGCTCGACACTAATCATATTCAGGCTAATAATCCTGGTAATCACTTGATTGATGTCGATAGCCCAGTTGAAGGCTTGGGTACGGAGCACCATGTTTTACCTATGCACCGGTGTATATAGCCCCGCCATCAGGATCGACCAAGTCACAAACCGGGTGAATCTCCTGTCGACTCTGGCGGGATTACCTTCTTCAAGAACACTTCAAGGTCTTGGATTTCGTCAGGATCACCCGAGTGTCCAAGTCCGCTTTGTAAGAGACGTCAGCATCGGGGCTAAGGCACGTTTGACGCTCGAAATAGGAGTAACATACGGGTATTTGTGGAACTCAACATCCATTCCCATTTCCTTCAGGTGCTCCGCCGATTTTTGGCCCAGTTCGAACTTGACGACTGCGTCTATGTCACCATGTGCCATGAACACAGGCGTCTTTTCATTCGGCCAGTTCTCGGGAAGCAATTCCTTAATCTTGTTCGAAAGAGGTAAATAACTGGAAAGTGCGAATATCGCCCCCAGTTTATCCTTGCACGTAAGCCCAGTGACCAATGACATTGCTCCCCCCTGTGAGAAGCCGCCGAGGACGATACGGGAGGATTTGATTCCCTTGTCCATTTCCTCCTTGATGAGAGAGTTGAAATATTCGCGTGATTTTAGAATTCCAGGTTCATCTTGCCGCTGCACAAACTCCTCCTGTGTCGCCTGCATTTGAACTTATTTCGTAAATACCAACTTAACCAGTGCAGAGTTTCGGAGGGAATCAGGACTGACCGTTACCGACAGTGTTGCAATATCATACCAGCCCGGCATGACCGTCCCAAAATTCTGCAGTAGTATTCAGCATCCGCAGCCCAGATTTACGTTCCGTCACCCCCATCTCACATGCGACGTACAATTGTAATTGGAATTGGAGGCGCATTCGGGAAAATGAACGAAACTTCATCAAACATGCCACGGCGCCGCCAATTCTGCGCAAGCATCATCCTAACTTCCGTCAAAACCGGACCAGGTTTGTAGACTTGAGCTAAAGACTGGCAGAATGGCATACCACCCAGCACCACTACCAATTCAACAGTCAGCCATGGAGCGCTTGAGCCCGCCATTTGTTCGCTCAAGACGACTTACTTATCACCAAGGCCATGTGCCATGATAACCGTGGCAGAATGCTTCTTCAAAGCAGGGACCACAAATGGTGCTGTAGCCATCCTGAACATAAGAACAGTGCACGGAGACTTAAGCTTTGGCGGAGATCAAGGGTTGTTGCTCTACGGACGGAGCAAATACGCCTTTCTTTGCGTTGCGGTTGCCAGCAGCAGCCACAGTACTGCCGCGCTCCCCCGCTTTAACAGAGCTTATGTAATCAAGGGGCTGACCTTATTCGGTCCTATGTTGATCCGCTCCGGCCTACATCGGGCAACTTTCGAGGTCATCAGGTTATTTGACGCTTGACCTGGCCGACGGATTCAAACACTGCCATGCTCTCGAGGGTGGAGGGGCCCCAAACTGGATGCATTGATTGACAGAAGCCATACATTACTATCTACAGTGACGTGCAATAACCCGCACCCTAAAGCAACGCAACACCGCCTGCCACGACAGCACCCAAAATACCCCAACCAGCCGTCTGCAAAGGAGCGGCTATATTCGATGATGTTGGCGCCGGCCCAGAGGGATCGGTATTGCTCCCGCCTTGTTGCGCCTGTCCATTTGGCGTGGATGCGTTTGCATTCCGTTGGGCTGCGTCGCCGGAGAATGCTTCGGCGTTGATTCCGGTGCCATTCTTGCATTTGCCCGAGACAGCGAACTCGGTCGTCGACGAAAAGGTAATATCGGCGCACTAAACGGGCTCGTTAATACTGACGGGCACGACTACACGGCTCCAATACGGAATCATTCAACTTACGTTGTACAGCCCACCAGTTGGATCTCCGTTCGTCACGACCTGCAGCGTGGCGTTCATTCCATCCTCGAGGCCGACGCCCATCAGCTGCTCTTGTAAACTAACTTCCGGTAGACAGAAATCTCCCAGTCCAGTTTGCCTGAATGTAGGCACCAGCGTGATGTTGAAATTCGACCCTGGATCGTTGCCCAGTCCCAATAATACCTGCACGGCCGTTTGGTCATGCCCCATCTCCAATGCAATGGAGATTTTGGGATCGTTCAGGGACACCTTGGTGCGAGAATCCGAAACCGATTGGCCGCCACATGGAAAATTGCTAAGCTCATCTTCTGAGAACCCTCTGGGTGTCGGCTCGACGAGCACGAAGTGAGCGGCAGAAAGGGAAAAGAGGGAGCTAAGAGCGAGGATTCGTCGCGGGAAATGCATTGCTGGCTATTTCGACCGGTATCACGATATTCTCCAGAGAGGCTGAAGGAAGAAGCAGTTTGGGAGGTCAAATGTCGAGTTCGGAGAAAGACCGGAAATCCTGCACTCGAACCAGGAAGAAAAACGAAGGAAGAAAAAGGAACAAGCCTCGTATGAGCAAGACTCATCGGTCCGTTATATCTTTCACAAGTGCAGCCTCGCATCTCTCATGGGGTTCAAACTTTAGTCGGTCTCCGCTGCGGCTCTCCGCAGATGATGCAATGGCTCCGCTCGTTTAGCGATTTTGCAGTGACAAGACAGCCACGCTTCGACAAGGATGGATTCCTTATCTGCTTCTTCAACTTCCCCTCTTGCCTTTGATGATCGAGACCAGACGGAGGCCTGACGTCCAGAGAAACCCAATAATTATAAAATTATGCCGTCCGGGGAGACGTTGCTGATCGTGTGTTCCACCCACCAGGGCGGAACCGTTAACTCGTGGGCGAGGACCCTGCTGCTCGCCTCGGAGGATCGAGACTGCAATTAATCTGCTCAATTCAGCGCACGGAGTCGTTCCCCAGGATTGGATAGCGGACCCTGGTAAGCTTAATCTAGCTAAACCTTCTTCAATACAGCAGTGAAATGGCGATACACTCTACAACGCCAAGGTATCCTTAGCCAGGCAAGAAATCTGCAGACGACCAACAGCCAGGCGGGTTCATTGGAAAATATATACAATTCTCAAAGAGACTAACAGGACAATACACAAATGACCCCAAAACTCCGCGCCGTCATGTCCCAGTGAAAGTCATCAAGCTCGTCGTGATTAATGCTCTTCCCCTCGATGGGCATACCGTCCAACTGCAATATCACCGAGGAACACACCGCCCAGCACCGAAAGGAAGTATCCCACATTCATTGTCATCACAGCCAACATGCTTCAGTCGCAAGTCAGCAACCAAATAGCATGCACTCGGGTATATTGCACTGGGAAAACTCACAGCAAATAGCCCACACCAGCCATGACCGTCACCAACGCCGCCCGGGGAAGGTCCACGCTAAATCTCCACGGCATCACTGGTGGACCTCCCGCTCGCCGTACCACCCGCACTCTCTCCTCCACGCCCTTTTCCGTAAGCAGCACTGCATGTTTGGCCTCTGGGTCATTGTGCACTCGTTCCGACTCCGGCGTCTGGCCTGCCACGACTATGAGCCGCCTTTCACGCGCTTGGTTGAGCCATCGCTGATCGAGCGTCGTCTTCACAGCCATGAGTCCGCGGCCGAGCATGGCAAGAGCGATGAGGAAGATGCAAGTTGCGGCATATGTTCCGCCTGTGGCCGGCGTCCATGCAACCGTGTAGAGAGGAGTTTGGATAAAATTTTGAAAGACCATGGCCATGATCATACTCGACGGGTCGCCGCCATGTGAGTGCCCGACAGGCTGCGGCGCAGCGCCATGACTGTGCGACATGGTTTGAGATGTTCTTTTGGGAGAAAAGGCAATTGAGATAATTCCTTGCTGTTAAGAGAAAGTTCCAAGGTCCTAGTGGGAGCGGGAGCTGCGCGATGGGTGGTTCCTCGATATATATTCTTCCTGCCCAAAACGTGAGACACCCCCGTGGCAGCCAAGCTCATGCACGCCTCAGACCTTTAAGAAATGACAAAGGGGGCTGGGCATGACGGAGAATGATTTTCAATGCCGTCCGTCTCTTGCTGATAGACTCAGCTGCTTCGATCCGGATTGCGTAAAGAGGAGGATGGTGGTTGAGCAGCAGAATCAGATGTTGTCGTCTGGACAACATCGACGAGAGGGAAATCGCGGGCATTTATACCAGGCGAAACGGGCCCAATACCAAAATTACCGCCAAGAGCAGGTTCCTCGGAAGTGGGCCCAGGCCACGCTCCCATTGGCTGTGCTTAACGAGGTTAAGGTTATCCAGAAGAAACTCTATTCCTCGTTTGCTTAGGTAATCGGTTTTTCTGTCGCCAAGTCGCGAATTCAGACACCAGATGCTTGAGCTGTGTGACTCCCGATAGAGCGACTGGCCGTGTGCTGGCCGTGTGCTGAATCTGTGCAGCCAGGTCACACTCAGCCGTGCGGGCAGGGAATCTCTCAAACGTTCTCTTTTCGGAGGCGTCGTTCTGATTTTGGTTCATCGCGACTCGAGCCCCAACTCGGCTCTGGAGCGTGTATTTGCCTCTTAGTAATATTCTGCTCATGCACGCTCATATCCCCGCAGGAACAACCGCCAGCAACAGCCAGAATGAGGGTCAAGCCCGCCAACCGCCTCGGCCCTGATCTCGTATAACCATTTGCTTTGCTTGGTCGGTCAGGATTTCATATAACAACCCGACGGCCCTGATGACCCTCGTTTCGCCCGTTACCTCCTCCGGCGTGGGATCCGGAAGTGATATGGCAAGACGTAGGGGTGTCAGCTACCTCTCCCTATAAAGCGCAATAAACAGAATCTGGACGCTGCGGCACATATACCGTAGTGGCGGGAACATGGAGCGACGACACGATAGTTCACATAAACCAACGCCCTCGGGCAATGGCGTCCCAAGTTACTTCAATATGCAGCAAATGTACTGGGCAGCCGTGGGTGCTGTTATTGCTGCCGCAACGCTCGCCAACATTATGAATAAGGTCATTGCTGCGCAGAGGTTCGTTTGCAAAATGAAGACCTAATCACGGATGTCATTGTCTGACCTAGAGATATAGGTTCTCGGACAAGACACTGGCGCCATCCAAGCCCAAATCCTTTTTCTTCAGAGCCTACGCCACAGGAACAGCAATGGTGAGAGAATTCTCAAATGCTGGATTCCGGCCCCTGGCAATTGGTAAAAGCACGCTGCATACTGCACCAGTTGGGCGCGTCAGTATTTTACTGGCGAATCTACTGGTGGTGATGGTTCTTTGTTTCTACAAACTCAACACGATGGATCAGTGGAGCTGGGAAACCGTCGGCTATCGAACGGGATTCATAGCCATTGGGCAACTGCCTCTAGTATTCCTTCTGGCAAGTAAAAACAACATCATCGGCTTTCTTACGGGGTCCAGCTACGAAAGGCTGAATTGGTTACATCGATGGACAGCCAGGACGCTATGGCTCACTGCGACCGTTCACATGGGTTTCTGGTTTCGAAGCTGGGGAAGATACGATTACATTCTTGTGAAGTTGACCAAGGATCCGTTAACTCAAAGAGGGTTTGCCGCTTGGTGCGTCCTAACATGTATAGTTGTGATTTCTATGGCTCCAATACGGCGGTTGAGCTACGAGGTATTTGTTTTATCCCACATAGCGACCTTTTCTGGATTCATCGCTGCCGTATGGTTTCACGCTCCCGCCGAGGTAAAGGCTTGGGTTTGGATTCCAATTGGCCTACTCGTGCTTGATCGAGTCGTGAGATACGCATTCATGGCTTTGGCCAATATACCGCTCCTATCTCTTCATCGGAGACCGGCATCCACCATGAACCTATCAAAATGGTCCCTGAGCGCAACATTCACACCACTACCCGGAAATGTCACCAAAATAACCATCCAGAACCCGACCATTTCTTGGAAGCCAGGACAACATGTACTCCTTTCATGTCATTCCGTGCTGCCGCTTCAGAGCCACCCATTCACGATTGCTTCGATTCCTTCTGATGATAAATTAGAATTTTTCGTACGCGCCGAGAAGGGGGGCACGAAGAAGATATTCGACCACGTCTCAAGCCAAAGCCAACTCCGCGAGCAAGAAAATAGTCGCCGTCCGTGTCAGCTCACCAAGTCCGTGATAATCGACGGGCCATACGGTAGGATAAGAACCTTACGCCAGTTTGACAGCGTCGTGTTCATCGCCGGTAGCATGGGGGCTACTTTCACGATGCCCCTCATGCGCGATATCGTTGAGGGCTGGAAGAACGAGAACCTTGGCCCCGAAACGGGACGGACGAGCTTTGCCCTGACTAAACGAATTCGGTTTATTTGGATCGTCCGCTCGCAATCCCATTTGACTTGGTTCATGGACCAGTTGCAGGAATTAATGCGGGACATAGACCGTTGTGCGGGCGCAAATTCCTTATTCAACAAAACTCGAAGCCTTGAGATAAGCATATATACGACATGCGGTACTGAATCATGTCCGACTCTTCAGTCACCATTATCCGCTCGGTTGGCTAGTATGTCGAAATTAGCAACCGCTGAAAAGCAGCCCGCAGTGGAGATGCCAGCTAGACAATCAAAACCCAATAGTTGCTGCTGTGCTCGAAAAGTTACCGATGAAACTGCTCCCTCTACACCGTGTCTGTGCTCTGACCTGGCGCCAGCACCCCCCCCTTCATTACCCACGACTACAGTTACCGAAATCGAAGTCGGCCCTTCAGAGAAGGGTCTTCCAACTCCTACGTCATACTCTCAACCACCTCTCGACTCGCGCATTACTATTGTATCGGGGCGACCCGACACTCGTACGATAATCCGCTCTGTCCTTGAGCAGGCAGAAGGAGAAAGCGGTGTTGTTGTGTGCGGCCCTAGCGGCTTGAACGCCGATGTGAGGCGGAATGTTGTGTCACTCAGCGACGAGAGGGCTGTGCATAAGGGAACAGGAGCGCAAGGAATCTACTTGCATGTTGAGGAGTTTGGATTCTAACGTTTTTTTTACTTTTGTTGGGTGTTCGACGGCGTTGTACCACCTGATGTTCAATGGGGCCGAATCAGCATTTGTGAGATTTATATAAACTCGGTGGTAGGATCATATCAAGTACAGTAGTTAATTACCTTCCTGTCACCCAAGGCTTTCGCGCAAGGCTTTCGCGCAACGCTGTAGACATTGCGATTATGATAAACACCGTCCTTTTGCCCCAACAAGAGATTGTTTATTCTATCCAACCTACCGTCTACTCAAAATTGCTTTTCCAGATGATAACTCTTCACCAATTGTTGATATTAGAGCTGTCAGGAAAGAAAGCCTGCGGCCGTTAAAACTGATCTAAGTTCATCTTGACTGCATATCATTCTTCAAACCTTCATAACACAACACCCACTAACGACCAGTCACCTAGCTTATGGGTTGAAATAACATATCTCTGTGAAAAAATTCACCAAGGACCATCCAATATCAATACTCCAATGGCACCGGCAGAACCAGACAAGCCGGACACGGCAAACGCCCCTGCGCCGCCGTCTGCGTTTGCGGAGGTGCTCTCAATGGGCACTCCTCTGTTGCGCTTCATGTTCTACCCAATGGACCAGCTGAAGCTACTGGGATCGAGTATGCGCCAGATGGTCGGGAAGAAATTTGACCCCGAGAAGGACATTATCGACCAAAGCAGCAAGGTCATCTTGATCACTGGAGGTGAATCTGCAACCCCCATATATTCATTCAACACATCCACTCAGCCATTATATACTCATGAACTAATGAGAACCCCCGTAGGAAATACCGGCCTCGGAAAGGAAACAGTCTTCCAGCTCGCTAAACATAACCCAACACGCATCTACCTTGCCGCGCGCAACACCGCCAAAGCCCAGGCCGCAATCGCCGACATTCAAAAACATCTCTCCCAACCAGCCGATATCCACCATCTCCCTCTCGACCTCTCATCCTTTGCCTCCATCCGCGCTGCCGCAGACCAATTCACCTCCTCCAACAACCGGCTGGACACCCTGATCCTCAACGCCGGCATAATGGACATACTGCCCCATCGCACCAAAGACGGCTACGAAATGGACTTTGGCACAAACCACCTCGGCCACTTCCTCCTCACCACCCTTCTCCTCCCTACTCTCGTCAACACCGCCAAGAAGCTGGAGTCCGAGGGCAAGCCGCCGGACGTACGCATCATCTCCGTCGCGTCGATGGCCTGGCAAATGGCGCCCTCGATCTCCACAATGCTCTCTACAGATTCACTGCTCGCGGCCAATTCACACGTTCGCTACGGCGCCTCCAAGGCAGCTAACATCATCTTCGCCGCAGAACTGGCGCGTCGATACCCAGAGTTGACCTCCGTCTCCCTCCATCCGGGGGTGATCATGACGGGACTCTACGATTCGGTAAGCGCCAGGAATCCGGCGGTGCGGGTGGGAGTGAGGATGATGAAGGCGGTGACGGTGGATGAAAAGCAAGGGAGTCTAAATCACTTGTGGGTAGCGGGATCGGAGAGAGAGAAGTTGAAAAACGGGGAGTATTATACCCCGGTCGGTGTAGGTGGGTGGAAGAACCACTGGGCTGAGGATAAAGAGGCGGGAAAGATGTTGTGGGAGTGGTCAGAGGAGCAAGTTTCTCAGGGCCAGGGAGAGCGAAACTAAGACGATAGTCTGAGGTAAGTGTTCACATATATTGGTTTTGAACTGTGATTCGCATAGCTGTCAGGCGCTCAGAGTCTATCTGGAGTTTATGTGATCGTTTTGGAATTTCTTCACTGTCGGTTAAATTACGGTTTTTTCTTTCCAACGTGTCAAGCCGGGTGTATATAATTTCGATATTTAAAAAATGCGGCATGCTCTGGAGTCAGAAATGCTGTGATACGATAACACCGTATATATTTCCACAGAACAAACATGTACCCGTCGACATACGTAACATAGTCCGAGACACCAGACTTTCACAGACCAATAACTAGAAAAAGATGACAGAGGCAAGGTCGGTTTCTTTTGAAGGATACCATCGATTCTTCCCCATGTACTCTTTTGGAAATAATGCCAATGGGGCCTGAAGACACGGAAAGGATAAATCACATATTTCCTTTATTATTCTGTTGTCCTCTTACTCGACTTTGGACTCGAATGTTTCCCCTACCAACTCTGGGATATCCTCATCATCATCCTCACCTTCCTTCTTTTCGCCTTCCTTCTTTTGCATATTCTGGTAGCTCTCAGCGAGCTTGCGGAGGGAGGCAAGGGAATCGGGGCCGAGCTGGTTGAGGATTCCGGGTACGAGTTCAGTGAGCTCTTTCTCTTCGCCATTACCGTAGATGGCGAAAGTGTTGCTAGGAACGGAGGCTTGAACTATTGGCCGTGTATCAGCATGGAGTCCTTCTGCGCAGGACACCTCACAGAGATGTAGATTCCGACGGTGGCTTTCCGGAAACTATATTATAGCCAACGTACCCTTAGGGGCAGCGAAATGGATCACGTTGCCATCCTCCTTGAACATGTTAACTTCCTCGATGGCCTGGATGGGTTGGACATTGAGCTTCTTGAGGGAGGTTTGCAGCTTCTTGTCATCAGTGCCGGATGACTTGTGGACCTTCTTTGTCTTGCGGCGGGGAGTACCCTTTCCTCTACAGGAGTATTAGCCTGTGATCTGTATGGATGTATCCGAACCATCGGTCGCAACATATTTCTCGAGGACGCTAGAAATGCTCGAATATATTCTGAAAAAAATGTACATACCCTATATCAATCAATGTCAGTTATCAGCTCAATGCCAATGGAAGGATTCCGCGCCTGGTGCCCAAGACAATAACACATTTCCCCAATGCTCCACCAAAGCCCAACCGCACAGCGTATATGTAATGCCCGAGATGAACCGTAGGAAAAGAAAAGAGCACGTACCAATGCGCACGCTCTGCTGCAATCTAGCCAATTTCGCTTGATCCATGATTCCTACTTATATATCTCAAAAAACGTCCAAGCAACCCAGCGGCCCTCGAACAATGCTCTCGAATCGAAATTAAACCACCCAATTAACCGGGTCCAACACGATATAAAGGGTGGGAATTTCGGTGGAAAGCTCTGCGCAGGAATCGTCTGCCGCGGGACTCGCAGAGCACACAGTTAGCTCAAGCAACCACGATCGAAACAATCTGCCAGATGATTTGTGGGGTGGTTTGTGTGAAAGTGTTCCGACAGCGGTCGCGCGGAACAAGGGGCAGGGACATTGTCAGGAGACGCAGCAAACTAAGATCAACGTACCGATCGATTCGAGAAATTGGAGATCTGCTTGACAGCTGTCTTGATGGCGTTGAGGTTGAGCGTCGGATTTCCCTTGTTCGCCTGTGAGGTGCCGATGTGGATGCCCTTTTCGGGTTAGCGCCTCATCGATTAGGTAATCGGGAGCTGTCAAGCCCTAACATCCGAAATGGGAAGTCAATTGCATCCGATGGAGAATCTTTTACATTCTGATCGCTACAGAGGGACGAAACTTTTTTGGCTGTGTGCCATTGCCTCATATCTCTAAAAAGCAGTAGTCGTCCCGGGTTTGCGGGTGTCCACCAATACCAACACCAACGCTGATACATCCCATAGAAGTACACGAATTAAGCCCCATATTCAAATCTAGTATGCTCTTCTCTTCAGCCTCTCCCAACACGTTTAATCGATCGGTTCCCCGATCCCATCTTGCCCGAAAAGAAGTGGAAGGGTAGCCACATCGCAGCCTCGGAATCGACAGGAAGACTCGTTTCAAGCGGGAAGCCAGTAGGAACCCTCAAGATCCCTTGGTATCTCAGCTCATTGGAGCTTCACAAGGGGCCACACCTACCCCAGTAAACGGTCACCACAACCCATTGAATTCACTTCACAAGCAGAGATTGGCGTTCCCTCTATCCGTGAATGGCGATTATCATAAATGGCGTAATGTAAAACAGTTTATAAAAAGAAAAAGGCCTGTATGCCGCATAAACTCCGAGTTGGCGGGGGTAAATAACGTATAATAATTACTCTTTCAGCCCGCATAAATCAGTCCCCAGCGCTGTATCGACCATATACCAAAAGCGCCAGTAAAGGTTCGATTTGTCGTAGTCAAAGGATCCGTCTTCTTTCAGGACAGGTCCATCGCCGACAATATCACCACTGAACCAACTGAGAATAGGAATAGATCGAATGATGCGTTCGCCCATGGACGGTTGCGGTGGTAATGCTTCAGACGCTGGTCGAAGCACCGCCTTTCGGACAGTTGGAATGTGAGTCATGAATTCAGATTGAGATGGTTGAGGAAATCGATGACGAAGAGCGTCATTATCAGAGACCGGCGCCGTAGCAGTGGCAGAGCTTGCGGTCGTTGTAGACTGTTGTGAGATTGTATCGTCGAACTGTTTCAGGTCGGATTTGAGAGATGTGGGGGGGAATGGACGAGGGATTATGGCGGAATCAATGTCTGCAGTACGGAGGAAATCATTTGATGCGGGTGGGCCAAACGTGTAGGGATCAGCGAGCTTCTGCTTGATTGTGTCCCGGGACCCTTTGGGGATTGGAACATCCTCATTGGGCCCGTGGCCGTTGTAGAGCTCGCAATAAACGGAATAGCCATCAATGTCTTGAGGAGAAAAGTGACAGGCACGGTCGGCGGCTGCAAATGAGTCAAACGTGACTTTGATCCAGTGTTCGCCTCCAGCATATTTCTTCGCTTTCTTGTTAGCGTCTGCAGAGAGGGTTCTGTGAACCACAACATCCCCAGATGTCAATAATTGCGGGTATTTGGGCGCGATATCTGGGTCTGTGCGTGGATAATCCTCACAAACAACGCCCTGCGAGATGGTTTCAAATCGATCTATCACCTTCCATTGTGCGGTTCTATCCTTGTAGCCATAAATTATGCACTCTGTTGCAACCGCATCGGGTGTTTTCCGTGTGGTATCGATTGAGGACGAAGTAGCGGTGGGCAACAGCTTTCTTCTGGCTTGTTCTTCCTCTTGTTGGATAGCGAAAAGTCTGCCAAACTCTGCAACGTTTTGGTTCTCGCGTCTAGCTGGCGTGCCAGTTCGGGTTCCGGAACGGGCAGAACTGTATCGGGCATTCCGTCGCTTCCCAAACGATCCAGTCTCCTCCGGAGGCCTTCGTGGATTTCGAGATTCACTATGATGCTGTGAGTTAATGGACGGTTGGTAGCAAGTCAGAGGCAAACAGTCCAGGGAATTAAGAGAGATATCGCGCTTCCAAAAGGAATTGTTGGCCAAGGTAGAGAAATATATGTTCACTCACTCTTTATATAAATAGCCGTAGGGTAAAAGGCCGCCTTTGGGGCCTCTTGCACGTTCCTCGGGAGGCACTGAATGATATTCCATCTGTCAGAGGAAAAAGGATAGCGCTGGGAGGGGGTTTCTTTTTGCAAGTGAGCAAGAAAAGAGACTACTGCGCAGCTTTGGAAGTTTGGATGCATCTATGGTTGGAGGGAAAGCAAATCTGAGAGATTAGTAAGCAACTGAAAATGTTGACAAGTTAACTACCCCGTAATAAATAGTTCATCCTTTCGGATTTTGCGTTCAATCGTTACGCTCCAATGGTTCAGAACTTCAGATGCCGTTCTATCAAGACTCAAATGGCGCGTAACCAGGGACTATGCTTGTGGGTGATTCCTCTCCGGCCCCCAAGGGGCCAAGGGCCTTGTGGCCATAACTACGGAATAGTCGAGCAAGCATCCCTCATCGTATCAGGCCGACTATGGAGGAGGTTGACATCCAATCCATGGCCAGTATTTACAAAGGCGGCAGCCCAACCCTACCAGCCCTGTGTATTCCAAGCATAATATGCCAGCACTTCCCCCATGCAACGATATACCAATGAGCAATATAAAAGGGGTTCACAATCCCCAACTATCAATATGCCAACTCCGCAGGCCAAATCCATTACGTGAATACACAAACCCAGCAAACAACGGTTAGTCTTGATTGGATTTTCTAGTCGCTTGTTGGCAGATGCTGGTTTACGAACCGTTGAAGACTGATGATAGAAATCCACAGGAATAACCAAAGGACCGGAATAGCACTGCTTATTGATCCAAATCCTGGCCCAATGGACACATACCTAGACGATTCGGCGATTAGCGCGGATATTGCCCAGCTTCAAAGCGCCCCCGAATCGAGGGAGCATTTCTACCGGCGCCCGATGTCAGGAATTTTACAGCTCGTGTTCCCCCGACTCGAAGGATACAGCGTTTTTGAATCCGAAGGAGAATCGACAACCGCGGATTTCACCATCCTCAAAGTGTATCAAGCACCAGCCGGGTTGTTGTATAACTTCGATGTCATGGTTGTGGAGAGCAAACGCAGTGATTCATTCAAAACTACCGAGCCTCGACTTTTTGAGCACATGAGGAATTGCAACAATGAGACCGAGAATGTTTATGGTTTGATTCAAAGTGGCTTGCACGTTCAGTTCTATCGGCATTTAGGCTTTCAGATACGCCAGTTAACGCAAACGCTCCACCTTGTGACGGATGCAGCTCAAATTCAACAGTGGCTGGACTATGTAAAAAACAATCCGCTACCGGTTGCACCTTAAGTTGGCTTGGTTACATGCCTGATAGTACATAGTGTTTCTTGGTCGCTAAGAATATTGTTAAGTGTATAGCTGTGTGCTCACTTCGCCAATCCTTCTTTTATTCTCCTACCTCATTGAGGGCAACAATCAATTCAGTATCTGGGATTTGACTGACGGACCTTGTAAGCCACCCCGCTATGGTCTCCGTCAAACTGGATATGTGACTCGACCGGAATCTTCGTCGGTTTTGTCGTAAGCACCTCCTGCCGCTGAATTGGACGCCCACCATCGAGCCATCGAAATGGAGAGCCCAAAGATAGCATGCAGCCGAGTCTAGCTGGCTCGATTGGGCCCAAAGATACCCTGGAAAGGATTAACTGCTGGATCTCAACCGGAAGTAAATGCAATCGCAACATCTGTAGACTTGGGGCCGTTGCTGATACCGCAAGTCCAATGCTTTGCCTTGGAGGCATGTCGGTGCCATTAAGAAATGGCTGTGGTTCTGTGCGCAGTGTCCCATGAAGGCTTTGCACACATACAGTGCACATGAAAAGCTCCTTCACAGAGAGGACAAGGTAATTAATATGCTTACAGGGTGGGCTGGGATTTGGGCTGATCGGATCAAAATGAGACCAGACGTCTTCTTGGACGAGAGCAGGCGCATGTGTCAGGTGTTGGCAGAATATAACGGTAACCCGTTCCAGGCGAATGTAATCGCTCTGAAACGGTTCCCAGGACGGTAGATGCTCCAGTCGGACCAGCGGACCCAATCCGGGCCTAGAATAGTCGACCTCTTTCACCGTGAAATCAAATAATGATTCTAAGGATTGCAGTGGCCAGTCGTCTAAAAGTCGACCTGTTGTACCGACTTCGCAGTACATGCCTCCATTGATGCGAGAAATCTTCCAGAATTCTACCAGCGAAACTAATTTGTGCTTCAGTCGTAGTGGTCGGGCGCCAGTTCGAGCCCAAAGCCGGCATACTCACCGTATATCTCTGAGCTGGAGGTGCTGTACACAGCTCCATGTCGCTGAGAGATACTGCATCTGGGTTGCTGGCTAAACTGCTTAGCGCAATTTTTCGGTTTTGATGCGCCTTGCGATGAACTAAAAATCTCGTTGTCGAGGTCAAATACCCACACTGAAGCGACAAGGCATGCCCTAGAATCAACAAACGGATCCGCAACATCATCTCTTAGTTCCATTTACGCGATAGTGATCGGTACAGGGTGTCAAAGATTGTTTCTGTTAAATCTCAGTAACTCTTGCACTCTCGAAGTCTAATAATGGGGGTGCAAACCTTTGGTTGCAGCACGCAAGCGATTACAGATACCCATAAACATATCATCATCATCATCATCATCTGCGCGCCGATAAGCAAAATATACAGAGCCTGCGTACATATTAGCCGTTTGTCTCATAATGTGGTACTTTGGACGCACCCTGGGCTACAAGATTGAGAAAATGAGTCATATTTTATCAACAGGTAATTTCACAATCACTTGTGTCAACTCGTTGGCTACTGGGTTGAGGAATTAGCAGCCATGTTGCTAAACAAAGTGTTGCAGGATGGACTCGTCGGGGGTGAAATCGACAGGCCTTTGCTAGTTAATTATCGTGCTAATGCCTCTTGGGACAGAATTGATGACTAAATCGACAGACAGCCTGTCGATTCAACCCAATCGTATCTCAATTATTAGAGCTTGTTCTGGATCAAAAAGGGATGTTGTATTGACAAAGAGAGAGTATATACTTGGAACTTGAAGGTTAGCATATTACGGGAATTTATTTTTCCGTTTCTAGCTTAAAGTAACTAACTAACTACGGAGTAGTTAGTTAGTTAGTTAACTCACTCGGTAGGTACCGAGGTACGGAGTATAAGCAACCCACGAGAAGCCAGTCAAAGTCTGCGCCGCCACAGCTGCTTCTCACCCTTGTGGCCTTATTCTTGCCCAACCCCAGATGCTTTGGCAAGAACTCATTTGCGCAGCCCTAGTTCAGCGTTTGACTCGCCCTCATGTCCGGTCACACTGATCTGCCGCGTAGCCCAAAAGGCACCATTTACGAGACAGAGAAGGGATTTGATGCCAGTTTGATGATCGAGGTCGACCCCATAAAAATCAAGTTCATAGGAGAGTTGAAAACATCAGAGGCGTCGTCAATATTCCATGTGAACTACAATGGCAAACCCCGTGTTTTGAAAGTTGTATGTGCCTTGCTACATCCCAAACTTATGATTCTTTCTAACTACTCCCAGTTCCACAATAAGGGAGACCCTGGGTATGCTGATGACGGGATTCGTGACTTGAATCGTGCCCGATGCGAGATCAGAGCCTACTGCCGCCTCAAACAATCTGGCATTTGCGACCAGGGATATGTGCCACAGTTTTACGGATACACGCTTTCCTTGAATCCAGCTGTGCACACCCCTCATTTAGATAGCTTTCAGCGCGATGCTGACTTTCCAAGTGCTATTCTGATGGAATACCTGCCGAATCCCTCATTAATGAACTGCCTCACTTACAGCAAAACGCGAATGTCCAAGGCAGTCGATGGCATCAAACAGATCCATTCAGCTTTGATTGACCACAATGACCCTTATCCCAAGAATATTCTGATTGTTCCTGGTGACCCAGAAAGAGTTGTGTGGTTAGATTTTGATGTTGCAATTACTTACCCCAATAGTGCTTACATTGGAGAAAGGGACCGTGGTTGGCTTGAGATGGAAACTGCGCGTGTTGAGTGTTTCGGGGAGATGCTTGTTGGTACCTCGAACAATTTCACTGCTTGTTGCCTTGTGCTGACAGAATTTCCAGGCAGAAGATCAGATACAGGGCCTTCTACCAAACACAAAATATTACTAAGCTGGTAGTAACATCAGTACACAAAGAGAAGGTGGTTTGTTGGTTTCTTGGGGGGAAAGGCGCGGGGGTGCCATCATGCCATGGTAACTAAGATAGTCAAGGAGACTCTGAAGGTTGGCTATGATCAGTGCTATGGAAACATCTGTGGAAGGCAAAAGCCGCGAAGTATCCCCTTCTATGAGAGATCACAGGGCTTTATCGGCCCTGCTGATGCTGGAAGCACTGTGCCTACCCCACCTTAAGCTGTCTGATTTTTCTCCACAATGCTGAAGAGGAACGAAGACTGCTTGGGGCTAACAGGATCCATGCTGCCCTGAGTGAATAAACATTATTGGCATCCCCGCGCCGACAGGGTCTGGCCATATCCTCTAGCCGATAACGTGTAAGAATGTTGAGTTTGAATTTTGATATCAATTTGAACATGGACCACTGACAATTTAGATCTAGTGCCCTATACCACTCTTCCATTTCTGTGCCAGCGATGGTGACTGGCTTCGAGACAGAATCCGTGTGGGACTTGAAGCTATCAATTCTCTTGTGGTCAAATTAATGTCAGCTAGAAACTGGATTCATGAGCTGGAAGATATGAAGTCTAATCTTCAGTTCATGTTTTTAATTTTATTATGCTGATAGTTTACGGATAGTTAACTAACTGGTCAGCTAACTAGTCCGCGGTTAACTACCAGAGGCATCTGCCTATTAACTATTTGAAGGGATGCGGATTGTGATCCCCCTCAAAGGCGGGTTCCATGGTAAAGGGTAATTCTACGGAGGCCGCCGCCATATGTTTTGGTCCCCTTGAATCCTTGGCACACTTTCGGGCGTTCGCAGGCTTGAGTTTAGGGGTGATCTTGCGGGGGTAAGGGGGGTTGGTGGACCGCTAAGCTGCGTCGAAGGCTTGGGAGAGGCCCCTATACTGAAGGACCGAAACATGTGGCGGCGACCTCCGTATATTGGAGAGATTCGCCTGCATGGAGTTTGCTCCAGGCCCAGGAGTTGAAATCGGTATTTCATGGAGATATTTCTTCATTACTCCGTACGGAGTACGGAGTACTGCCGTCGAGTTTCCACCTGATGGTAGTTAACGCATGGTTTACGGTCGAATTTGATGCAGGATTTCCTTGGCTGAAGATGCTGTATGATTTATGGTCCTGATTCTGTCGACACAAATGCCTTGTAACATTTCGTCTTTCCCCGTTTTTCGAATCCAAGATTTATAGTTATTTATCGCATTTGGCTGGTGGCGAAATCGGCTATCATGAAGGCCCAGAATATCCACTATATACGAGTCAACGGTGGAGTATGTGTAGTCTCGCGGAATATCAATTGGGATTTCTTCGTTCTCCAGCTCTTGGATCCCAAGCGGAAGTGGCCTATTCTCAAAGCGAAGAAAGCCACTGTTATCAATAGTAACAGATCCGATTTTTGGAACTGGATGTCTCGCGAGGCTGAGGAAAATTCGACTGAGATCTCGAAAAAGGTTCATCCGTAGGGTAGGGTCGTCGCGTTTCTTCAACCAAGACTTAGATAGCATCCTTCCTTTATCTTCTTCGATGTATTCATTGAGTAAAAAATTGCTCCGCTCTTTCTCATCATTTAACAGCTCCGGCCCACCCCGATGGCCGACATAATGAGAAGGGGTAGGATATCCGAAAAGGGAGCGCAAGCAGCGACGAACACGATATAAACACCGCATCAGGAACGGCAAGTTATCAATTTGCGAGAACTGATAGCCGAATTAGTGTATCTGACTGACGGCTTTGTGACAAAATTAAGAGTAAAAACATACAACACCAGCGGAGACAGAGAAGCCATACAGTTTAGGAATGGGTATATCTGGACAATTTTCTTGCAACCAGGCATAGGTTCCCGCTTCGCATCGGACCTTTTCATCACTGTTTCCAGGTCGAAAAGCTTCGCCCACACGGTACGGTAGAGGGATTCGAAGAAGCACCCTGTCTCCAGGTTGCTTTTTGCCTTTCCAATCGACGATTGTGACGGGAATGCAAACATTGAAGCTTCCATACAGCCAGTCCTCAACTTCGGCAACATGGCAGGTATTGGGAGACCTCAAATTCAAATGATGAGCAACAATTGACCGAATAGAATCTTTTTGGCTGTTCAGGAAGTCGAAAAATCGGATTTGTTGATCATAGTAACCTCTTCTCTGTTTGGCAAAGGAGTATGTGATCTCCTCACGGAGCAGACGCCGAGTTTTGGCCATCATCTGCGGAGGCCTTGATACCAGCAACCGGCAAGGTATCCGTAGATACTCCGTACTGCTGAATGCAAATGCTTGACCGCGTTGTCCTCGAAGACGCGCTTCGGGACGCGGGATTTCTGGGGACGCGCGCCAAGGGCTTCAATTTCTCAACTTCAACAGTTCAACCACAAGATAACAAGTTAGTTATTACTCCATGGCCAGCAATGGAGTATGGATTGCTAACTTCTAAATTGTGAAATCTTCAAATCAAACATGTTGACATTCCGCATCCTTCTTGCAATCTTGCTTGCTGGCTTTGCTATCGTGCCCTCCCTTCCGAATCTCACCACTGCCCATTTCCGTGATTTCTACACCTTTTTCCTCACCCAGCAAGCTCCTCCCAGTTCACCCTCCTGTAGCTACTCATCTACGCCCTATTTTCCCAGCTGGAACAGTTGGTGGCATCACACCTCTGCAGCGAAATGGGAGGCTAAAAGTAAATCCGGCAGGTGGAATCTACTCTACCACCTCGGGGGAACCGGTCCGTGGATCGAAAAGATTGATGGCGTTTTTGAAGTCGGAGACCATGGGATCGGGCCGCCGTCAGGGTGTGTGGTGGATGGGGTGCATATGGTAATACTGTCTCTTATTTCCGTTCCTTTTCCTTTTTCCGGTGCGATTTCCTCTCTGTCTCAATGATTTCGCTGTCCGTCGAACCTGGACTTCATTCAGTTACCAATATGAAAATGGATGATTTCTTTTACTGAAATCCCTGCGAATGAATTTAGATGTCAAGACATGGGGAAAGATATCCGACATCTAGCGCTGGCGCACGTATGTGACTTCTTTATACCCGAAGCCGCAGCATGCTTTTTTTGCCATTTTAGTTCACGTCCTTACTTTGTATCAAAAAGGTCATTTGGCTCTTCTTGCTCGAATAAATGCCACAGCTACTCCTATGAATGGGACACTTGCTTTTTTGAACAGCTGGTCATATATCACTCAAACCCCCCAGGATGACTTTGACCAGTTAATCTCGCATGGACCTTATGCTGGAACTCTACAAGCCTTCACCACTGGGATGAGGCTGCGAACTCGCTACTCACACCTTATACATCGTAGAAAGCATACCCGATTTTGGGCTAGTGACTGCGAAAGGGTGATTGACACGGCACGATATTTCGCTGCCGGGTTCTTTGGCTTGGACTGGGACGGAAAACATCTCGCTACGCTGGACATTATCCCTGAGACAGCCGACCGTGCTGCTGACACCTTGACTCCTGGAGACACCTGTATTCGATACGTCAGCGACCCTGAACAGGGGCATGATAAAGGGGTGAATATGCTAGCGAAATTCCAACAAACTTATATTCCCCCGATTTCGAATAGATTAGCGAGAGATAATCCGAATATAAAGTTCACTAACTCAGAGATATATAGCATGCAGGAAATGTGCGGGTTCGAGACCATGACGCGAGGTTCAAGTCCTTGGTGCAATGTCTTTTCTACCGATGACTGGGAGAATTTCGAATACGCAAGGGATCTCCTACATTATTACCGTGCAGGACCGGGAAACCCATATGCACCGACAATGGGATGGCTATGGCTAAATAGAACGACGGAATTGCTCTTACACCCTTCAAACGAGGGAGATGTGTTCTTTAGCTTGTAAGTGGCCATCCGTGGGCTCGAGTACTATTATGATTGACAATGGTAGCGTCCATGATGGCGACATCGCACCAATGCTCGCTGCACTAAACGTGTTTGACCAGCCGGACGACCTACCAACGACCCATATCGCAAGAGACCGCCGTTGGCGAACATCACAAGTTATGCCCATGGGCGGTCGAATCATCTTGGAGCGCCTGACTTGCGAGTCGCCAGGGAGGTATCAGGTAGACAACCCAGCTAACGGCGAGCCGCCTAGCTCAAAATCGCGTTTCATTCGCATCAACATCAATGACGGCATTGTCCCCTTGCCCGATTGCAATTCCGGCCCCGATGCAAGCTGCCCCCTGTCTCAGTTTGCGGAGAGAACTCGCTTGCGAGGCGAGGAGGCTGGTGTTTTTGAGGATATCTGCGGCCTTGAAAACTGGGGAAACGGGGGTATTACTTTCCTTAAACAAGAATAGATAAATGATATCAAAATTTCTTACCTTACCTCTGAACGAGTACTTGAATATATTCAGAAAAGTGAGGTTTTCATACGTGATGGAACGTATAGACATACGGAGCACGCCCTGTTCAGTGTGTAATGAAGAACTATGATACTAGGCGGGGAAATAGATAAAGACGATATTTCAACAAGTTCCCGAATGTGGCCATATATACCTAAGGGTACGCATCTATCCATTCCTTCCATAGATCCTGGATAACAAGAATGAGTGGCACCTGGCGTGCTCATTAGCTATTATACACAGGTTTTGCATTATTTTGGAAGGAGAATTAAACAATTTATATTATATTTGATTTATTCTTAATTATATCAGAGTTTCAGCCAGAAATCATGAATGATGAATATTTCTATTTAAAGTGTTGTCGTTCATTTGGAATTTGGCATCATTGATTGATGGCTGTCATTGAGTGGTAGATTACGTTATTAGTCAGCTGACTAGTTATCGCTGACTCAGCTGTCTGATTATCAAACTCTGTCGACCCGCGACGTTGCTTCATCTCAAGCCTGATGCGAAAACGACAGCATGGTTTTTCCTTCCAGAAGGATAAAGGACTCGAATCTCAATCCAGGCTCTGATTTGTTGTTCGATATCGGACTGTCCTGCGATACACTGGCCCAGCCCTCCCATAACTTCCTCCAGTAGCATGCCTCAGCAGCTCTGGTGAGATAGCGTTCTCGAAATATCTTGACGTTGTTATTGGCAATTCGTTTGGCCTTTTCTGGGTTTGCTAGCAGCTCTTCAACCTTGTCCGAAAGATCCGAGAAGTCTCGCTCGACCTCGACGAAATTCTGATTCGGCCCGCTTGACTGCAGCAGATAGTGGTGATGCTGGATATGTTGAAGCTTATGGGCGATGATGACTGATCGGCAGGCTTGCCGATATTTGAATGAGGATGAAAAGGACCGGCCTGGATGATATGTGTTTAGCGCCATGGCTTGATCCTCGGGAGCAGGGGAAGTCACTCTCATACCTTCAACATGTGCAATAAACATATACTTGCAATGGTCCTCCATGCTGATGAAGTGAGATTTTCTACTCCAAACAATCTCTTTCACATCACCCCACGGCTTGTTTCTTGTGACTTCGAGCAATCTTCGCCTTAGCTTAGGTGCGAAGCTCAGTTTACCCCTCCAGACCAGTCTCGGAGTTTTTGAGGACCATGGCATGGTATCCTCCAAGTCAAATTTCTCGATCCGCTTTACCACCTGGTCATAGGGACCAATGTTGCTTGCTGGGTTACCCCAGGCCCAAAACCCAAAGTCTGGAATCAGCCACACAGACTTCTCAGTGGCTTTCCTACTGAGCACCCAAAGGGGATGGCCTTGACCAGATACATCCTCCACTTTGTCTTCAACTGAGAAGATGAACTCGATATTAGGTGCTCTGTTGCCAAGGGCTCGGTGAATTGAGCTCAAAACTGCCAAAATCTTTCGCCGATGGTCTTCCTGGGCAGCGCGAGCTTCTATAATGAACAGATTTCCATTATATATCATTGCTCTTGCCATGCCATTTTGGAGTTTAACTGTGTTCAATGACTTCTTCAAGATACCACCTCGAGAGATCCAGAAGCGAACAGCGCGGTCAACATCCTCATATAGCCCTGGGAAGGCAGTTTGGCATTGTCCTGTGTTAAGAGCTGTATTGTGGTCATCTTGACCATACCGAAATGCCCAAGCGGGCGTGGCCAGCGGTGGGGCTGGTGATATTGTTGGCTTGAACTTGAAGGCTAGGTCTACGCAGCTCGTGCAGTTGAAAATCGTCGCGGTCGTGCAAGCACAGTGGCCGGCGGGGATCAGTTGTGTGAGGATAGGATGAACATTGTCCCTATCCGAGTTCATGCCGAACCATAGCGCAAAGATGCTAATTCCCAAAATAGCAATTAGGATTGATTTGATGATAGCACGCGAGAAATAGGGACAGTTGCGGCGAACAAAATAGGAAAAATCCATGGCGCTTGACATGGGCTTGGGGCAGAATGCGGCAAGAATTGAGATGCAATATTTTTCGACGAAAGTTGTGGGAATGGGGAGGATACCATTTCTCAGGCTTATCCCCTCCAGGGCCCCCTGTGATGCATATATTGGACAAAGATCATGATTACATTGATCTAGACTCCCTAGGCCAAAGAAAACGTTGAGTCTCCACACACGGCGGAAATCTACAAGGGTACGATCGAGTGAAAACACCTGGAGCAGTCCGCGATTCGATGCTAGTGGATACTACCAGGGTTTCTATTAGTCCGCAGGAACGAAATTTGACAGCGACCGAAGTCTCGCTTCTGAATGCAAGGGTCAACCAGAAGCTCGGGTCCAAACGGCGGCCCGTGAAAATCTACCGTCAGTATCCAAAATTCACCCCCCTTGAACATCATGCCTCTTATCTGGATAAAGTTTTCCCGGCCCGGCCCGTTGCTCCTCCATGTTGTCACTTAATCTCCGTCCAGAATGTGTGGTGGATGCGCTACCTACACCCCTGTAAAGCGCTTATGATCCGACAGCCGTTAAGATGTGACAGGTTTCCTTGAACTACATCGGCCTGTCTTTGACAATGTCCTAACCCCTTGCTGAAAATTTTACCCCCGGGCCTCGGGCAACTCTTGATTGAGTATTGCTGTCTAGACATCATGGCGAACACTTTGATGATCAACTGGGACAACCAGGAGAGGGTCCAAGAAGACAAAAGAGCATATCCTCACCAAACCAGCGCAGCAGGGCATATCGAATAAAGGTGACCTACCACTCTCTTAAACCATGTGTGCAGGGAAATAGTTACATCCCCAAATCTCCAGCGTTTCCGCCCCGTTCCTTCTACACAAACAAAGATCCATCTCCAGTCTCCATCAAAAGGACTGGACGAATGGGCCTAATAAAGGAGCCAGACCTTAGCTCGTTTGGCGACGTGACATCGACTTGCTAAAAGCCCGCATCTCAGGCGCGGGAAAGCCTAGTCTGAGAGGGGAAACCCCCGACTATAACCCTGCTTACGGCCTTGATCTTGGGGCAAGGGATAGAGTGCGGTGGGCAAATAATGAGTACTGTCGCATCTTTTGGTTCCGTTCAGATGCGTTTCTACGCGCGCAGCAGGTCCCTAGTATCTCCTTGGGCGGAATATAAAATGCAGTCAATTTCCTCGTTCTTTGCCTCTCAAACCATCATCTTCGACAGTCCATAATCACTCCGCTTCAAGTCTCTAGCTCTTTCCAACGATGCTGTCCGCCGGTAGCCTCCTTCTCTGCATGGCAGCCCTAGCTGGCACCCTGGCCGAGGCTGCTCCAGGCAGCCACAAGCTCCCTCTGTTCAACGGTGTCAAAGTTGTCCAAGCGTCTGTTGACACGTCTGCCTCCCCTGAATTTACTGGTATGACACATGCCCTTCTTTCCGTCGTCTATGTCAAAGCTAGATCTTTTGTAAAGCTGACAGACTCATGGGCAGTTCTTGATAGCTTCAGCTGCAAAGGGTCCACTCTCTGCGGTAGGGGCGTGTCGGCGGCGGATTGTGGCGCCGCTTATCGTATAATCGATAGGAATCATCGATACTTTACCGGATCTGGGTAGGTTAAATCCCAATTTATACTCCAAGACTGTTCAGACGGAATCTAATCGCTACCGTGACCCCAATAGAGCCACTCAAACCGGTGTCTGCTACAAAAAGTGCGGCATTTTTGTCGAAGGGGGTAATTGCGATTTATCGGGGAAGGAGATGATTGACGGTTACAACCAACTTCGGAGCAGAGGCTGCAAAATTTGCGGAAGCAAGACCTACAATGATGGCTGCCGGTTGGTTATCAACTATGTCACTGGCTGCTAGGTTTCCAAATCACATTTTTTCGCACGTATGAGCATTAGATGGAATATTGGACGTATAGAATGATCTGTGGTGCGGGAGTAGAAGTATGGGGCTTTGCACTTGCTTTCTGTTTGCGTGCTACAGGATTTTAGTTTCTTCCATTCTTTACCATGCACAAGTACAAAGGTACTGATTGGGTGTTCTCTTTAACCTGCCAGTTAGCTACTTTGCTAAATGAACATATCAATGCCTACTAAGTAGTTTAGCCCCAGAGAAATGAAGTGAGAGATAATGAGCAATGCCGTCAGATTCATAGTCAGCAAAAGAAGCACAAGCAGATATTTTTTATAGCAACATGGACTCATATGAGATTCGTCTTCTAAGTTTTAACCTTAAGATAAGCAGTCGCTCTGAGCGCTCTCAGCCGCATGAGCCAAATAGATACCTGGACTTGAAATTAAAATGGTCAGCGAGTTAAGAATGGAGTGCATCGAGTTGTCTCCTCGAAGCTTCAAGTCTTTTAAAGCCTCTGGCTTCGACCACTGACTATGGAGGAGAAATCCGACTTTCAAAGCTCCATTTGGTCAGCCCCCTACCCTGTGCTAACTACTGCTTACCCCAGAATTCCTCGGCCAAAAAGTGCGATTAAGCACAAAAGCCAAGGCTCCACCTCCGATAAGGTTATCTGTGCTTATGACCACTAGTTACTTGTAACTCTCTGACTTTGACTGATATCAGAATGGCGATGGCCGGTCAAGGCAAAATGGGAGCAATAGGTCAAGTGAATTTCTCCAGCAGTCACCTTGCTCACCAGTTCTACCCCAATCACTCAGAGCATTTGCTGCTTGTCACGCTACTAATATCAGAAGACCACCCAAATAATAGCTCACCTTGCTGTCTCAGCATAATAGCACTTTCAGTAATTTGGGAAATGGTTTTGTAGCAGTTCTGCTATGTAATCCTAGCAAGAGTGATTGAGTGGCTTGAAATTCGAATGGCTGCATTCGGAATTAAAAGTTGTTATTAAAGACTCTTAATCTGTTGAAGCAAGAGATTCATAATGCAGTTGTTATTTACTACAGAGGAAAAGACTAAGAACATCACATGGAAGGCTAAATCCAGAATGGTTAGCATGACACACCTACCACGCTGTCGGGTGCCGACCCATGCAGCCAATCAGCAGCAAAGCCGGTCATCGGCGCTTCGGCACGACCTTCTCCGCTCCCACCAATCAGTAGAGCGTTCGCTCCCGAGCCGATGGCCCCTTGGTTACATAATGATCCGTCATCAGGCACCGCCCTGGCTCGCCCACCTGAACCACCATCCGATTCCCAGCGGACAAATACAGTACCGCCCGAATAATATCATGCTGGGGGCAAAGGCCACTCCACATCAGTCCGGCTCGCCGCTCCTCCCCGTCGGCCGACGCACTGAAGTTGGATTACATCTCCATTAGCTCAGCATCACCAAAGCCTTCTGCGGAAATATTATCCCCACAGGTTCCCCACGACGGAAGAACCATTTGCTCCCTGGCCTCGTGGTTGTTTTCTGGCACCATCCTGTGTCTCCAGTCGTCGAGCTGGAAAAGTCAGTAGTGGAGCGGAAATTCCACAGAAATCATGCTTGTGAAACTCAATTCCCGGCCATACGATTGAAGTCCGGGGGGGTTTCTGGGTTCTAGGATAAGAATTATTACTTTCGGGACGCGGGGTGCTACCTTCGTAGGCACTTGGTTATATAGAAGCTAGCCGCATGTTTTTGCTCTTGCCATTTGCTTAGGTCTACGTCTCGCCTGTTGGAACGGTTGCTTGAGAAACTATTCAAAGCTCACGGTCACCATGCCCGTCTTTACTGAATTCGCAACATCGAGTCGGCAACTGCGCGTTTTGCCTTCATTTGCTAGCCCATTACCCCGCCTCAGCCCTGCTTTTGACAAAAAGGAAGACAGATATGAAGTGGTCGTTGTCGGGGTATGTGCACACCTATCATCGAGTGCTCCTACGCCATCCTAGGTGCCATACGCATTGCTGCGCAACATCAGCTAACCTCAATGCTGTAGGCTGGTCCCGCGGGACTTATGCTCAATCTCCTCCTAGCACGATACGGTCTCAGTGACGAATCCCTACTCTGCATCGATTCAAAATCAAGTACACTCCTCTCCGGCCAGGCCGATGGGCTGCAGCCTAGAACACTTGAAGTGCTACGGAGTTTAGGCGTGCTGGATGAACTCGACAATGAAGGTTGCCACATGCACCAAATCGCTTTTTGGAACCCTTCTAGCGATGGCGGTATCGAACGAACTTCAACTGTGCCCGACATTGCGGTCCGTGCGAGATATCCGTACGAAATCACCATTCACCAGGGCAGAATCGAGCGTGTCCTGGAAACGGATTTGCTTAGATACTCGAAACGTGGCGTGATGCGTTCAACAAACTTGGTTGATGTGAAAATCGACGAAGAAGGGGACCCCGAATTCCCCGTCGTAGCGGTAATCGAGACTGAGCAGGGCCAGAAGACCATTAGAACCAAACACCTCGTTGGTGCCGACGGCGCGCACTCGGTTGTGCGACGGAAGATGGGTTTAATGTTGGAAGGCGAATCTTCGGATCACATCTGGGGTGTTACTGATTTTGTCGCCGTGACTGATTTCCCTGATATTCGCAAACGATGCGCCATTCACTCGGACTCTGGCTCTGTCATGGTCATTCCTCGGGAGCGCATCCAATCAGGGGAATACCTCACCCGCTTATATGTCCAGGTCCCAGGCGCTGTGAAGCCAGACGACGAATCAACAGCCGCCAATGGCATGACCGAGGATGCTAAACGGGAAGCAAAGGCTAGACGAGCACAGGTGAATGCAGAGAGCATATTCGAGCAAGCCAGACAAGTATTCAAGCCATACAGCATCAGGATGCGAGACGAAAACGCCATCGATTGGTGGGCCGCATATCAGATTGGTCAGCGAATGACAAGCCAGTTCTCCGTAAAGGACTCGCGAGGAAAGGAGAGAGTTTTCATTGTTGGCGATGGTAAGGCCCTTGGACCTGATGTAGGCTGTTCCATGCTAACTCTCAGCAGCTTGCCACACCCATAGTCCAAAGGTAACAATATTTCTCCACTATGCTTCAATAATTTGATACATCACCTCTTCTATCAAAATAAAATGACTAAGTTTATTCTAGGCTGGCCAAGGGATGAATGTGTCTATGATGGACTCTTACAACCTTGCGTGGAAACTTGTCTATGCTATCCACGGTTTAACTCCGGATTCAAAGGCCAGCTCTGAACAATCAGATCGCATCCTTGAAACATATCAAACCGAACGTCACACAGTTGCTCAACAGCTGATCGACTTCGACAAGGCGTTCGCTGGCATGTTCTCTGGTAAAATCAAAACGGAAGAGGAGAGCGGCCTCACTCACGACGAATTCTTGAACGTGTTTCAAACCGGAAACGGCTTCTCGAGCGGATGTGGTGTTGAATACATAGAGGGCATTCTTGTGGACAAGGATGTCAATGATACCGTTGTTGGAACAGACTACTTGTCTGGAATCCTACGACCTGGAAGACGTCTTCTTAATGTTCAAGTCGTACGACATGCAGATGCTAACCCCCGGAATCTCCAGGACGGTAAGTACTTCCCAGCGACGCTATTTCCATTATTTAACAGACTTGGGCACTAATCCAAGATAGACTTCCCATCAAATGGTCGTTTCCGGGTTCTCTGCCTTGCCTCAACCGATCTTCTCATCTCTGACGGCGCTTCCGCAAAGGCATTCACTGGGATCAATGAAATCATCTCCAAATTCCCAGAAAATCTCATTGAGCTCGTCGGCGTCTACCCGTCTCAACTCGGAGATTTCTATTGGCAGGATGTCCCCAAGGTCATCAAACAACGCGCCGAGATGCGTTTCCACTCTGGGTCCATTGACACCGTTTATAAGATTTACGGCGTATCCGCTGAAAAGGGAGCAATCGCCATCATCCGACCGGATGGGTACGTTGGAGCTGTCGTACCGTTATCCGGTCTGCAGAAAGTGGAGGAGTATCTTTCACGTTGTGTGTGCAAAGCTTGAAGAAAATAATACCCAGATTAGAAACAAGATAGTCATTAAACCAAATAAGAAACAAAATTCATCACTTTCAACTCACGAATACATGACTGTTTTCGACCTCAGTGCTCAAAGATCCTATGACGGGTCGGAAAAACAATGTTCCTCGTCCATGGATATTAACCTCACCCGTTGAACGTCAGTCGAATTCCGGCTCCAGAGCATTCCTCACGAGGTTGGATACTTATTAATCCTTCAGATATATGATTATGCTGCTTCGAATATTGGTGTGCTAGCATAAATACGGACCATATTTCAACACCTCAGGTCTTGTGATGGTCCGCGGCTGTTAGTTAGCCCGATGCTTTCTCCAGGCCCTTTTCCTTGACAGTTCTCTGTACCACAAATTTCCCCTACTATAGATGTAGTAGATACGGAAGAAAGGGTCAGAATGCTATCATGCCTGTGTATTAAGCCAACCAGGCTCCTGTGATGAATCCTCGCGGAAGGCATTGATAGACATGTATAGCTTATGTGTCTCAATATGTCGCTCTTCTGGATTCATCTATTCTATCTATATCTGTACATGGTACAGAGCCTCTTTTATACTATCTATATATTTTGCTAGAGATGCCTCCATCTCTATTTTTGGGGTTCTCAAAAACCACTCTGGAGGGAACAATATTCTTAGGAAGTTCTGCGCTCCCAAGGAACATATAACATGCCAGCACCAGTCTTAACAAATTAGCAGATTCCTTTATTGGCCCCTTGGGCTGGTTCAGGAGAGATTGACCTTGAGCTTTGCTAAAAAATTGTACTTGGTATCAACCAAAAAGCACGTGCTCTAGGAACCCCTTTCCTTAGCGAGATACTGTGACCTAATGAGCTCTCCATTCACACATTCATCAAAGCTGTACACTTCACTTTCTCTGTTTCTCCCACATACCTAGTCGTTCAGCTTGCCAGAATCCGGCCCATGCCAGTGGGAACCGCCTCTGTCAAGGCATCGTGCTCTTCCTAGGGACCATGGAACGCAACGGCATCTCCCAAGTACATTGGAAAAGAGCTGTCTTACTCTTCTCCGTTCTTTCTTATTCTCCAGCTTGTCTTACCGAGAATACGAGTCGATCCATTTCTACAATTGGCTTAAATTCGGATAGGATATATCTCACAGGAAACCGGAAACCATCCCTGTATACTAAGGGCTTTACCAGCTGCATGGGCAATCCGCTAATCAGTATCACTCGTTTAGATGCCGCAATTTACAACAGCAATGAAACCTTTGTTTTTCATCTAGAAGGATCGACGTCCGTCCCTAACTCTGGAGTTATCAGTATGCTTTTCGGCTCCTTTGGGTGGAAGATTAACTAACTGTGTGTATCAAACAGTTGATATCAGCATATTTGCCTATGGGATGGAGAGATTCCGTCTGGCTTTTGATCCTTGCTCCGCAAATATGTCTAGGTTGGTAGACCCGAATCCTCGCCTACTTGCTGCCTATGCTCACATCATCTCATAGCTTATGTCCTCTTGACGTGAATATTCGCATCAAAGAACAAGCTCGATTCTCGATTGCTCAACTCGGCGTTATGGAGCTTCGGCCAACAGTCTATAAACTTCCTGACTTTGAGGGACAAGTTATACTTCGGACATCCTCGAAAAGTTCTGCATCACATTTATCGTACTATGTGTCTGAATTAACAAATGGTGCCAGCTTTTCCCATCCCTATGTGATAGGACCCATGCTTGCCGCATTCACGGTTCTTTCTATGCTCTCCTCTTTTGCTTTGGCAATATATGCTGGAGATATCGAGTCTACACGGACCCATTACGCCCATGGCCCGTCCACCTTAGCGATATTCGCCATCTTTCATCACATCTACTCTTCGGGGGCATTGGCGGTAAACTGGCCCAGCGCCTTGGTTGCGTTTTGGTCAAATTATTCATGGTTCGCCGGTATGATTTACTCACAAAAAATGCAGAGTGCTATTGATTGGGTTACTGGTAACGACCTGGAAAGCGTTCACCGTTTCAATTCATGCACTCTTGTTACTATCGCACCCCCTGGACAAATGTATAACCTTACCCAAAGATATACAAAACTGTCTTTACCCATTGGCGAAGGCCCTTCAATCCGTCCAGGAGATCTTCTCGCGAGAGCTCCTAACATGCCAGTATCAGACTCTTCAGGATACCCGTCCGGATCCCATTCATTTCAGAGCCACACGGGGTTCCCTATGGTTTTAAGTGCTGCTAAAATATCGGCATCCAACGCATTTTTAACTAGTTTGCTTTGGCTACTTGCCTTTATCGGAGCCGCAATAGCTGCCATAATTTCGCTCAAAGCTATGCTCGACTTCTTTATTCGGTTTAGACTAGTGAGGACGGGTCGTCTTGAATATTTCCGCGCTCACTGGCTTGCCTATGCCTTGGCTACCGTCTTCCGTCTCGTTTTTATCAACTTCTTCTTTCTCAGCTTCCTAGCTTTGTTCCAACTCAAGTTAGGCGGCTCTAAGGCAGTAGTTGCGATTGCTGCTACTACCCTCGCGATTGTCTCTATTGGGTTGCTCGGAGTCTCTGGCTATGCGCTGCATTTTCGGCTCAGAGGTGGGAAGTTGACCTATGACAAGAAAACATGCTATTTGCAGAAGACATATATTCACAAAGTTGTTCCGTGGTATCGATTGGTTAGGGACGATGTCTCTCCGGAGGACGACCCTGATATCAAGGCTATTCGTCTTCCCTGTTACACACTTCGCTACAGACCTTCAGCCTCCGAGCGAGACCACATTCATACCGACTGCAATTTCCTTTTGCGCTTCTCGTGGCTTTCAGCACGCTACCGATCAAACAGGTGGTGGTTTTTTTCCTTATGGGTGCTCTACGACCTGGCTCGGGCGGGATTCTTAGGGGCGGCAGCGCCGTCCGGCATGATCCAGGTTTTCGGTCTTCTTTGCTTGGAGCTCATCTCCGTGATACTTATAGCATGGGCCAAACCTTTTGAAGCAACACGCTTAAACGTTCTTATGTTGTATCTCCTAGGCTTCAGCAAAATAGCCACACTAGCAATCTCATCGACCTTCCACCCAGCATTCAACCTTGGGAGGATCACTACGGCATTCTTAGGCTTGGGCATAATAGCCCTTCACACCACCCTTTCGCTTGCCTTGCTGGTTTCCATTGCTACGGGCCTCGTTTCAACATACCTTTCCTTCACCAGATACCGGGAGATAGCACCGCGGGACCGGCCTGCGAAGGGGCTTCGCCAAAGGTATCTTAACCACGTTACCAAAGCTTCAAGCAGGAAACGCAGGCAGGAAAGCGTTTCTCGTTCGCCAGTAGCGTTTGGGTCCCTTAGGGGTCCTTCGCTCTCGGCGTCTTCAACCCAAGGATACCCAAGGGTAGGGGATGGATACACAACAGAAACGCCTACGGGCAGATTCTTGTCCCCTACAACTTCTCAAGTTTCGTTTGGGCATCACTTTGGGTCGAGCTTCCCGCAAATCGACAGCACTAGGTGGTATGCATCCCTTCTCTCCCCATGTCGTTTGTTCTCAAATATCAGCCAGTTCTGACTAAAGTAGGAGCCCCGGCGCTGGCCGGTTTACTGTTACCGCTGTGCCCAGTAGCCATCGAACAGCTGAGCGTACGCCAGCACGGGAGAGTAGCGAATCTGACCGGGGCGTCTTTGAAGTCTTTTAAGTTGAGCGTTCATTGTTTTTTTTCCTCTTGCCGGTCAGATTCGTTGCTCCCCTTGGTTTAGAAGCGCTTCAAGAACTAGGCGGGTTTTCTTCGAGGCGTAGGGATGAGCATAAAGGGCGTTTAGGCGCACCAATCCAGCCATAGTATTGTTTTGTCCAAACTACTTATCTACCTCTTTTCTTTAAAGGAAAAGGACATCATGTCATTGGGTTGCAGCTCGCCGGGTATGCATCCTTCACTGGCACTGGAGCGAACCTATATTCTGCACCTCGATCGTCGTGTCAATCCACTCAATTGCAGCACTCCATCTGTAGAATTCTTTTCAATTTCCCAAGCCTGGAAAACGTCCCCCAGGCCGAGGCTCTTGTAGTGATTCAGCTTGGGGGCGAAACTATGGAGTACATGAGAATTTGGTAGGCTAGCGTCGATCAAAACTGAGACACAGCCCGAGTTCGTGGGTCAGCCAGACAGATGGTTCTGGGGCTAATGAACAACCGGAGAGGCGAGACCACGATAGTTGCGAGGGAACATTCATCACTGTGTGTTCCAAGCGTTGAACTCGCTTATGGAGCCAAATAACGGTAACTAGACGGTGCGTTTCATCCCAAGCTACAGTAGCACTGTAGCAGTGGAGGATATGAGAAACCAGCACGCTGAGGTTCCCTCATTTCTTGGGGAAAAATGGGTCGAAATGGGAACGTCGCAGGCTTGGTCTCATTACCGGCGTGTCATGTTGCTGGGGCAGGAAAAGTCCCAGTCCGTGTCCGAAGGAAAAGGCTATCGAGTTTTCGAGCAAGGGCTGTCTCGGCTGATCGTCAGTTTGAAGCATGGATGGGCTCCCGGAGGAGTGTTTTCATAAGGGAAAGTAGTTAGGAGGACGGAGTTCGCCGTGGGCTTGGTCATCCAACTTGCGGAGCAAGTTGGTTCATCGCAGTTCACTCACTACGAGTTTTGCGACCAACTGGAATATTCAATCTGTCCGAATGTCGCTCAGGCAGTTCATTGCACTGTTCCCCACCGTTTTCCCCATGATTTTCGAGGCCAAAAGTGAAGAATTCACATTGCCGGCTATAAAGAATACCAGGGGCTGTTTTCCAACTATTTTTTTTTTTCTTCAAAATCTCCTACGCTGTGGTGTGACGGTGATTGCGAATCTAACGGTGATCATCCCAGCTTTCGCATTGTCCGTGAAGAGAATCTATAAAAATAGACGATCGGCACGGCGTCATTTAACCCAAGTAAACGGCCTGTGCGACTCTCCCCGCAACGGGATTGAGCGTTCCATCGATTTTGCCCAAATTTCACATGTAGTCGAGGAGAGATTGAGCGATCAATAATAGTACACGGAAGTGATAATAGTGCCAATTGTCACCTCACAACAGCTGCGAGACTCGAAACGTCGAATCCCGGTAATAATAGTTGGGTCACAAATTAATATAATCATCCTTCGTTAACCACCGAGAGTGCCATCAGCGTTTGAATCTGATTCTGGTGCTCGTAACCGGAAAGGGTGGGAGAAAACGTGGGAGTGGCAGTCGACAACTTCAGACGATGGCAATTTCATTGGCTCGATGGAAAATGATTTGCTTGAAAGCGGTTGAAAGGAGACCACTGGCTGCTGACCGTCTCGAATTGTTCTAGGCTGGCGCGAGGACCGGGATAATCGAGGCAAGGCAGGGAAAACCATGTGATGGGCTGAAGAGCCTCCCTGCTTCCCTATTTTTGGCAACCCGAAAGCGGAGAAAAAGGCTCTGGAGGAAATGTTGCAAGTAGATGTTACTGGAGGGTGAGGCCGGAAGGATGCGAGCTCAAATGCAACGGTAGATGAAAATGCTGTCAATCATGCTGCTCCAACAAAACCATCTCGTCATGTGCTTTTCGATTCACGACGTCGTTTTCTGGTTGAAAAAAATTTACAAATTCAATGCGAGAGTTTTGTCAAAAAAAAGGGATCTTCCCGAAAGCCAGCCAGGGTTACACAAGATAGGGACTGAAGCATGGGGGATGATCATCGTGCATGACGGCATGCACTCCATGCTCTGGTGCGAGTCGTGATTTGACCCTGCCTGGCTCGTCACTGTGATGAAGTGCATCTTGCAGGATGGACAGACACGCGGACACGCGGGTTTCTCTGTTGGTGAAATGAGACTGGCTGGTCTGCAAAGCGCTAGAATGGCTGCTGGCAGTGCCATTGGCTGGAGCTCAACACGAATGCGCGTTCTTACGCCGGGGGTGGTCAACAAGAAAAGGAATTCCGAGAACCATCCATGTGGCATCGTGAGTGCATGTTTTCGAAGTGGAGAATCAATCTCATTGTCAAATTTCTTGAAAACAGGGCGACAAACCCATTCGTGCGGGTTGCATGAAGTGTTAGCACAAACAGCATCCCAGAGAGTCTGGTTCATTTCTCATGATTCACACATGTTGACACTGCCATCAAGAGATTGAAGCCCAAAAAGAATGAACTTCCAGATAAATTTCACTTTTGTCCAGACAAATCGTCGCTCTCTGCGATTCCTGCCATGTTTCTGCGGTCTCCAGACTCTCAAAACCTCGGTTTCTGATTCGCCAAAACCCAGGTTGTCAACATGAAATAATGGAGGTAACCCTCGTTTCTGGGGGTGTTTCGATTCGCAGCCACTCTTCTGCCTTTGATGAAACGAGGAAACAAAGCGAGTAGGGTGAAATAAAACCATTGTTAAGTTAGTTGACACATTATCAGACGAGGACCAGGGTCACTGTTGCGGCGTATCGCCGGTGCTTGAAGTAAACTGAGCTGCTCATTAGACGTTGGAAATGCTGGTTACTTGCGCATTCGCTTCCAAACCGATGAGAAAAAGACAGTTGGGAAGGCCCGACATGATTGACAAGTCGACGACGAGGCCCTTCCCCTTCGACAGGCGTGTGGTGCGCTCTTCCATCATGCACTAGGAGGTGGTCCCCGTGTCATAAACTCATTGGATAGCCGACGCTCTTGGAGTCTCTCACGGAGATGCGGAGGACATTTGCAACCTCAAATGACTTGATGCCTCCATCGCTTGTCGCCTGACGATCCCTGCCTCGTGGCTCTTTGGGTTTGGCCTTGCAATCTTGTGGACTTCGTGATCCGAGCATCCTTGCGAATCCCACGAGGACAGTCGGGCCATTGATTGGAACCTTCCCGCAGGTCGTAAAACAATTGTCATTCCTTGCGACTCTGGGCCGCCACAGCACACCGAACCGCTACAACAGGATTCGCAGGCCACCATCTGAATTGGCTCTCGCAGCCATACGAGTTTGACCAGTCTGAACACAAATGTTAGCAGGAGTTGAAAAGACACACACTCGCAGGAACTGTCTGAAAAATTGGCCCGCAATAGGCTGTGTATGCATTTTCCACTTTTGCATCAAGTGAAAATGTACCCCGTATCCAGGATTCATGCGCATACTTCTCCGCCAGGATCCTCAGCTCTCGGATCCCCCTAGTAAGCCAAGGCGGCTGGTCTGAGGAAAAGAGCGCCCTAGCTGCTCGGAGGGCGGTTCCGGCATGATTAGTGTCGTTGCAATTGGAGATCGAAGCGTCGAGTCGATCGTGTTGGACGTGGGATGAGAACTCCATCCCATGCGAGCAGGAAGCCGGTCGAAAGAACCTCAAGAGGATGGCTTGCAGTCACATCTCCGATTGTTGTGCCCAGGCATGATGGACGTTGTCGTTGATCGGCGGGTTTTCCCCAGGTTTGGGATGATGCAGCTTACTAAGCACCATGCGGTGCAAACAGCTCGAGGTCGTCAAATGAGCAGCAAGTCAATACAAGAGTAGATACTCTTTGTCATGGAGCTCTGCAAACATGTTTAGTTATGCAGGGGCGGAAGCTTTCACATCCCTCGCCTGAAATGACCTTGTGCTTGTAATATTTGATACTTTCAACTTGCGACCGGCTTATGATATCCCAATAACTTCCAAATTGCCCCAGGTCCCAGAACTGGAAATTACAAAGTGAATGTCCTTGGACCCAGGCAGAGATTGCGAAGCACAATACGGAGTATGAATTGTGCATTTTCTTGCTTGTGATTTCTCGCCGGCTTGGTCGCGTCTAGATCAAGGCGGATCTTGTCAGGCCATTGTTTTCGCCCATGCTCAAGACAGTTTTCCCTGGAGCCCCAACCTGACTGAGGCTGAAGACCGCTATTAGTTCGGCGGGGTCGAGTCTAGCCCAGTAAGTCAGTTGTGGGCGCAGGGTGGAGGCGAGAAATGAGGAAACAAGCGTCCATTGCATTCCAGCGAGCTGGGCTTTGGACGGGAAGATGTCGCAAGCTTGAAGGTTTTCTTGAGTGGAAAGCTCTCCAGTTTACCCCCGCAAAGACATTGAATCAAGGTAAAGAGATTGCTCTCGAATTCGGATGATGAATTACTTGTCCTGACTCCTGTGCCTTGTAATAACTGGTCCGTGGCACTGTTCTTGTGGCTCACGGATTGCCAGCTACCAGGTGCAACCGGGTTCCAGATGTCTTCGAGAAGGTTGGGGAAGCAGCGATGTTAAAGTAGGAGTATCGCTATGATGGCGTGCGGCCAAACATGTTCCGTCCCAGGAACCAGATTTCGGACCGTCGAAGACTTGAGTTTGAACTGTTAGTCTGTCGCCTCCCTGGGAGCTCGGTAAAGAATCGAACAACTAACGGAGGATTCCGCTCTTGAGTTCTGAGTCAGGAGTCTCCACGCAAGTTTGCTGGAATCTGGAGACTGGCGCCTGAGGTTCATCAGCATCAGCCCAAGTTGGCAAGCCCTCGTCGCCAGTTACTTTGAAATCGCAGAAGGTTGTGGTTGGACCTTGAGGCTTGCAGTGCTGCCAGAGCAGACAGGCCAGGCGCACGAAACCCAGGAAACGGGTGGCCTGCGCATCTTACTCCCGGCCGTGTCATCCCCAATAATCTCGCCTGTCCCCACCGCTTCCCCGAACGAGCGATCGGTGGGAAAGGGGGAAGCTTTGGGGGAAGCACTCCGTACTAACGTTAACTGCCCCCGCCACCAAGTCGCGGGCTCGTAAACAGAGTTTCCCCAAACACGTGGGACGTGAGGATGATCGGCCTGGCACCCCCACCCCCCCTTTTCTGCAGCCAATCGCTGCCGCTGTGGCTCAGGCTGCAGGTTAGCAGCGTGACCTGAAGGGGAAGAAGGGTGCCAGTTGGGTGCATTGACCGGGCGGTCGCGGGTTGGAGGCCGGGTCGCTGCCAATGATTCTTTACTAGTGCCGAGGCGGTCGGGCGCCATGTGGGTGTAATTGCAAGCGTCCTGTAATAAATATTCAATGGGAGGTAGTACATTAGTACCCCGTAATAAGTTACCAAGCCTGGGCTCCATGCATTGAGGAGCATCCTGTTTGGAGCGAGAATCCTCAAGCGATGAGAGCCCGGCCGTGAGATCGATCTCCATACTTGGGAGATGCTTCCGCTTTCCAAACCACGAGAGAGTTTATCACTAGCAGTCCAGCTACGCTTCCCAGCAGTCCAAACCCCGGTCAACGCGCCGGCAATCTTTCGATGGAATCGCAGGGATACCACGGAGTACGGAGTACCGGGGCGTGTTTTCGAGAGCGAGGTTAAAGACGCGAGATATTGTGTTGCAGGGAATGGAAATACGTGAAAAATAGGTAATTTTGATGTCTGATGGACCAATCTCACGCCTTGTTTTGGCGCCAGGAAATTTCTAAACGGGAATGGTCGTAACGATGGGACGAACGGAGTATGCATTCCCGTATCAGTCAAATCTCCCAGATCGTATTATTACAGGATGCATCGGAAATTTTTAGCCACTCAACGTGGTCGAAATGTTCCATTTTTAACCAAGCATCTCAGCTCCAAGAGAAGACAACTAATATTCGTAAAATAATATTAATGGCTGGACGAAGAGAATAATGATGGTGATGGCATCCTTGCTGAGCAGGATCAATCCCACCATTGCATAAACGGAGCCCTGTTGTCCGATAACAATTTCAGATCTGCCAACAGCGGTTCCACTGATTCGCGCTCTATGAGGATGAACAGCCGTCCTCCAAACGATGCAATCCGCGCGGGGCGACCCGTTTAAAGCTGCGAAGCAACAAATATAATTTCTTGTTGTATCGGCGACGAACAAATGGTGAAGATCATCGTCGATCTCGCTTAAGGTGGCATAAAGGACTCTCGCTTCTCCCCGCCAATTGAAGCGCGCTGGCCTGAAGCTCGCATGTCTCGAATCTTAAATTCCGGCAGCCACATTCCTGCATTGCCGGTCGTTTTCGTCCACTCGTTTTTCGATCCCCTTGACCCTTTCTTCTCTTTTGCAAGCACCCGAGCGGTTGACCGAATAATTATCATGACGAAATTGAGACATTTTGAGCTTTGCCGGGGTTGGAAGGACATTCCTTCCTGCCACATGGCACCCACGAGCCAGCTCCAGCTCGTATTGATATTATTTTCGTCCGCAAAGAAAGCCTCAAAGGACCCCCCTTTTTTCCCCTTTTTCTTCTTCTGCAAGGCTTTCTTGAGCACAAATTTACTTTCCGGTGAGCCTGTCTTTTTTTGGGTTGTCCAGACACCAGCCCACCAAGCAATCATTGAATGAGAAATACAGATGAAGCTGGTTGCTTTTTCCCCCCTTGGTGGTGACCCTTTGTTCGAACCAAATAATTGCGATGAAGATCCTTTTGTGACGGCAATCAATGTACAATGGCTCCCGGGAAAGCACAGAAAAAAGAAATCAAATAATTATGGTGATTTGATATTAGCGTTTGCCAGGCCGAGGAAATGGGGACTCGCAAGGCTCACTGGGGCTTCGTGATCGATATGATCATATCATGTTCATCGTGTACGCTTGACGGGACAGAAGGCATCGTAGGCATCCCCCAGGCTCCAGCTGTGACCCTGACGAGCTTGGCCGCGAATCGGAGATTTTGTTCCGTGAGCTGTTGCCCGGATCACCTCCATCCTTCAGAAAATGCGATCTCATGAACCCTGCATCGCACAGCATCAACCCGTTCCTTGGCGCTTATCCAGAGAGGGGAATTGCTAAGCCGCTAGTGCCGCGGAAGCCGATGTCCCATGATCCTGGGAACCCAAGAGAATGGAGCGTGGAGATCCTCAAGCAGTAGCCAAAGCTTTTCTTTCTTGCTGGTTGTCAAGACAGGCTCACACCGGGCGGGAACGAAAAGACGGTCAAGACGGAATCATGGTCATGTGTTGGCCGGAAGGCGGGCTCCCACCTACGGGCAGCTTGACGATGTTGATCGTTTCCAGAACAATGCACGATCATGAAACGGCACAAAAGCCCCTTTGAAACCGGCGATCGCAGCTCGACAACGGGCCATGATTCCGTGCAGTGTGTGTCTGTGTCTTGTTGTGGTTCGAATCCTCCAGCGCACGAGGCCGATCCCACTTTCTGCCCGTCAAGCCACCGCTAGCCGCCTCTGGCTAGCGCCGTATCATAAAGCTGAACCCGAAATACCGTTCTGTCACGTCACGGACCCGTCATGGTACGCCAAGACGTGGTCAAAACACACTCGCCCGGCTGATTCAGCATCCGCTCGTCTGCCGCCTTTTTCTTTTTTTTCTCTCGTGCGATGGAAAACATCACGACGAGCAAGACCTCACTCCCTTCGCTCAGGTCTCCCCGCCGCCTGAGCCTCTTCACAGCGGAAAGGAGATCCACAGGTTTGACTCAAACAGTTGCGTCGGAGCCAGTGTTCCCCATCATGGCTCAACTAGCGCCGCCTCTGCCTTGGGTGACCTGTCACGGACTTGGTGTTTCATCACTGACAGTGGTCTCCTCTTCAACAAGGGTCTCTGATACAGGAGACCAACTTGCTTGATCGATACCGTCGTGACAGGTCAAGCCCCAAAACCGTTGCTCACCCAAATGGACCGACGATCACTCGTGCCAGCCTGCCAGGAATGCTGGAAGGCGGTTGGGAAGCAAATCGGGGCTAGATCGCCAAAAATATACCCAGAGCCATGCGCCCTTGCGAGGACTCCACCAGGCTCAAAGTAACTAGTCAACGAGTCACCGCAGCTTTTGGACCTCAGCGTCCCGTCCACTGTCGGTTTGCATGGATCTGCGCTAAAGGGCTGTTTGGGCGGATCACCCCAAACTCTCTCCCATCAGCGTTCACTCCTCGCTAACTCAGCCAGTTAGCGCTCAACGTCTCCGGTGCTAAGGTTCCATACTTGCCCATCCCTCTTCTCCATGGAACAAGCCTTTCCAAATCCCTTGGATCCTTGGCCGGCGATCAGCACGATGATGGGCTGCCCATGCCACAAGAAGACGAAATTGCCGTTGGCCCAAGCCAGGTCGAGGCTAGCTTACCACGAGGCAATTTAGTGGCGCGCCGTGCTCAGCACCATGTCACGATCACAATTCGGCGCCCACGTTCCCTCCACCTGGTGTTCCAGGGAGCTAACATAGCCTCCCCCTAACTAGAGCCAACAAAGAAAGCCCAAGCCCATTACGAGCTGGATACGGCGCATTCCCATCAATAATACAGTTTCAATAATAATGGTTGATGACACAATTCGAGATGCTCTTGGGAGTTGGGACCCTTTTCCCATCTGGACCACCAGAGGAGACGACATGACGATTGTTCCGCCCTCCGTCAGATGGGAAAAGACTCGGGCGAGAACCCGTCTGGTTTGCTGGTAATAATAATGAATTCTGACTAAGGCTGGCGTGTCCCTTCAATACGGTTAACTTTGCAGACCACAAAGCCTAAATTTTTCTCCGCGATGTGGTTTATGGTTTCTGCTTCCCGATCACGGCGCTGGGAACTGAGGTATTCGACGACGAAGATCCATACAGACGAGTATGTACATCACAAGAATGACCGTCCCAGAAATCACCGCCATATGGTTTTGGAAAATGTTATTTTATTTTTATATTCTCGCCTGTTAATACGGCTGCTGAGGTACTAGCCCCAACCTGTCCTTGCCCCCATGCTCCAATCAACCCCCGTTTTATTTACATAAATATTACCAACTCGCCAATCACTCCCGCCCTCAGCGTGAGCAGCAGTGGCCCCGCTGACTTTGTGAAAGAACGCCTTAGTCCTGGTCGATCTCTCATCTCGGCTGATACTCAAGAGCAAACTCGCGGCCATCCAGGTTGTTCTACTTATTGGCCCTTTTCACCCACACCCACACACCCAGGCCCCCCCCATTATCGACCTCTTATATTCACTTGGCCACCCTGAATCGCAAGCGCCAATTCCTTGTTTATCTTGTCGACAACACCCCCGCCCATCAGTGCTATCCATCCCATTCTTTCCTTACTTCACAGCCTGCCCGCCAGCCTGAGGACGGCACAGTGTGATACCCCGGATCGTGAAACTAGATATTGGCTCAAAACATCTCGTCGACTGAGCCCATTTCTTCAATATGAACGTTTCTAGCCTGATTAGTTGTGATCAGACTGCTCCCTTCCACGGGTCTGCAACATCATATTTCGAGCATCATCAAAGAATCCGATCGCCTTCCATTCCCAAAAGATCACACGAAGAGAACAGCTCATCCGCCTCTCCCTACCCTCCTTTTGCAACCCTGCCTCTTTCGCCACCAGAAGATGACGGGAAGACAACCTTCTCGCTTCCTTCTATCTCATCCCTTCTTCAAAGCGTCGACGCTGCTTCTGACACTCACGTTGCCAGTATGAGTCATTCCAGTCCCAAAAACCCGCTTTTGTGCAGACATTGACTGTTGCAATAGAACGGCAACGAGCCAACCCCCCTCCTAGCATTGATTTAGCTCTGGAGAGACGAGGTGCCTGTGCGGACCAAGCAATCAGACAAAGGCCAGCCCTTCCACTAACGCCTCCCCTGCGACCAGAGTCGGGAATGGGCGGTGTAAATCACTCGCCATCTGCATCATCCCCTCCCCGAACCGCTATCTCACTACCCAGCCTCATTGGAAGTTACCCATCGCCAGTTTCAGAGGCTCCAGAAGGACGACGAATGTCGCAAATCTCACGACACTCAAGCAGAACTTCCATCTCTCAATCCTCCCAACATCCAGGGCCGGAAGCCCGCTACCCATCGCCACCAACTCTCAGCTCTCCTTCCTTCGCCGCTCCTATTGAACCACCTCCAAAGCCAGAGTACTACTCTTCTGGTGCCCGACCGACCAACTTTCCGCCAGTAACTTTCGCTGTCCTTCCAAGTCAACCAACGCATCCGCAGATGGTGGCCTTGGGGAGTCCTGCCTGGCAGCATCACCACTACTTTCCTCCATCAAACACAGCAACTTACCCACTCAACCACGACAGATACATTTGCCGAATATGCCACAAGGCATTCTCACGGCCGTCAAGCCTGCGAATTCACTCGCATAGTCACACAGGCGAGAAGCCGTTTCGATGCCCCCATGCCGGCTGCGGGAAGGCATTCAGCGTGCGAAGTAACATGAAGCGACATGAAAGAGGCTGTCATCCTGGCAGATCAGCCCCGCAGCCAGCGCTCGTTAATTGAAAAACGGAAGGGGTACGCGATCGGATTTGACGAATGGGTTTTGACGATGATAACGCCCACAATACGGAGTACCAACGAGCAAATCTACACAACTGCATCGTGTAAGATCGCGAACGTGGCGGTGATCAACATCAATAGAAGAATTGCCGAGCTTCGCAAGTCATTTCGCAACAGACGTTCGAATGGGACGTTGTCCCCGACGAAGCGCCGCGTCAAATTGGCATTTTCCCTGGATTGCCAATCTACATCCTCATCCAGGCTTGCCCTTTTACCGCAGTCCCTTTGAAAGGCAACAAACCTCGGTCGAAGATATACCGAGAATTAAACATTTAATTCCTAAACGTCCATCCCAGAGAAGTTATTTTAGGGGATGTTTTTTATCATAACCACTTTTTCTCAGGTGCATACAGGGGATAAGGGGAAATATTTAGGCTAGGAGTCAAGGATATAGATGGCAAGGTTTGGCCGTGCATATGGTTATGGTGAAGGAGAATTCTACATGAGATGCTTTTTACCTTTTGAACTTCTTGTTGTGTCTTATCATACTTCTTTGCCCTCACTCTAACTGGGTAATTATATATTTTATCACAAAATAGAAATGACCTTGAAGGTTTTTGCTCTTTGGGTAACTAGTCTTTATGACTTTCTTCTAAATGAAACGTAAATTTATGGACGTTTCTCAACTGGGGATTCATGTTGTTCAGTCAATCGCTTTAGGTCGCATAACCATTGACACATAGACATCGAGAGCTACCCACGAATAATACATACATGAACAGCCTCACTCTGTGAATCATTTTCTATTTAGATAGTAATCATTCTAATCGTTAAATCGTCCAAATATACATGGTTTAATATATGCAGCACCTTGAGAGGGACCATGTTCAACGTTAAGCTGCGCTTCCACTTATATATGCAAAATCGTCGAGAAAGGCTGCAGGGTGGGCGCAGATGCATCTACTCCGAACACCGCGTTCCTTTCTAGTGTTGAATAGTAAATATCAAGCATCCAGGTTCAGTTTCTCCAGCAGTCGGTCAAGCTTGTTCAGGAGAATTTGATAATTCATCGCGTCCCTTGCAAACTCATCTCCCGCAATTTCCCCATCCACGGTTCTAAATACGGGGGCGGCGGGGACATCGCGGTTAGACTGCGTTGATACGTCCGCGCAGAGATCAACGGCTTCATCTTCAGATGGCTCTGAACCCCGCGATGACGGGACCAACGCATTAGAAGAGAGAGATGATGCTCCTACGTCAGAGCTCGAGTTCGATGCGTCAGCTTGCGCCATTGTCATTTTATCTTGAAATTCGGTTATACTGGTCTCCGCACCTCCCTCCATCATCTCGTCTAGGCCGGAATCTTCAAAACGGAGTCTAAACCGGTCACTAAGATAGTATCGAATATCATCGACCAGCTCTATAGAGTCCGTTTCTTGTCGCTTTTGGATGCGAGTTGCTGATTCAAGGACAAGTTGCTCGAACTCTGGCCTGCCAATATGAGACTCTAACCTATATGCTAGGTACCGAGCGGCGAACTCTTCTAGCCGTTGCACACGCGTAAGCCAGCCGGCACGGATGATTTCGTAGATGTCTATTAGTTCCTCATCTTCCTCTTGTTCGTTTGTCCCTGATGTCCCTTCTAGCGTGGTAGTATGAGGCTCGTTCTCCGTGGTTTGCAGTGGCCGTTCTTGCTTTTTCAAATTCCCGTTACCTAGCGTGCTAATAATCACAGCCGCCTTTGTTTTGAGCCTTTCGATCATGAGGAGATCGGCAGCATAGAGAACATCGACCGCTATATCGAGCGGAAAATCCACTTTCTCCGTATATAGAAAGTCGAGGACGACCTCTAGAACATCCGGGGAACAATCAACATGAATTATTTGCAGGTACTTTGACATTTGAGCTTCTCGAAAAGCGGATGAGAACATGGCAAGGAAAAATTCGGATCGGATGAGCATGGCTCGATGAGCAGGATAAAGGACGGAGCGCCGAGGGCTCTTTGCCTGTGGTATTGGACGCGATTGAGACACAGGGCCAATCGGGATACCCTTAGATGTAGCCTCATCTTTCGAGTCTAAAAGCGTTTCGTTTGCGTCTGGCGTTTCGATCAAGTCCTCGTCGGCTCTCAGAAGCACATCGGCAAATATAGTGTTATCTCGGTCCCATTTTACTTTGTCCACGTCATGTGTGTTAACGGCCATTTTGTGCTTAAGGGACATTGTCCTGGAACCATGTTTGCATCTGGCTTTGACCTTTTGCTACTTCATCCGTTCGTCTTTGCCTAGCCAGCCTCCGATCGCCACTGTCCAAAATCGTATCCATCAAGCTGTGAAGCTCCAACTGGGTCGCGATTTTGTCTATCCCCGCCAAGACTTCAGACTCTGTAAAGCCGGTCCCAGGGCCTGATCTCAAGTCACGGGGTGGTTCTCCAAAATAAAGGTACTTTATACCAGCGCTAAACGCCTGGGGCGGAAGAGTGCTTGGTAGCTTCCATGTCGTCGCTTCGGGGCAGTGAGCCAATTTCTTTCGAAAATACGGCGATCTTGCTGACAAAATAAATTTGTGCAAGGGAAAGGATTCATCTGCTGAAGCCACGACGATGTCCGAAGTTCGAGGGTGGTCCCTGGTCAAAAGAGACGCGATATGGGCCGCATATGGCTGCAGGGGATCAGTTGATTTTGAATAATCATATTTTAAAAGTAAGTTCCGTATTCGGTCGTTCAGAGCGTTGTAAAGACACCTGATCGATAAAGTGTTAAGAATTAACAGTTATTGAGGAAAAAAAAAAAAATAGCTGAACCAAGGGAAATAGCACCTTTCGCCTTGAAAAGTGTCTCGCTCGCACAAGGCACCTGAATCAAGGAGAAGTTGCACGGTTTCATAATGACCACAGAGGCTAGCCTTTAACCATGCTGTCAATTCGTCTATCCCATACAAACACGCGAAGGCAGGATTACAGATTCCATCATGTTCAAACAAAACTTGCGTGAGATTCCACTGAAAACTTACGAGGATCAGGGGGGTGCAGTCAAAAAGGTCCCTCCCGTTTATATTCACTCCCTCGGCAATCTTCTCTTGACAAACCTTCAAATCCCCTCTTCGAGAGGCCTCACACAGTTCTTTGAAGCCTTCACTCAGATCGAGAGGGTTGTCTTCCTTCAATTTGCCGGCCTGGATCAGCTTTCTCTCATTGTGCAGGCTTGTTTCCAGCTCGTCTTTCCTCAGTAACGCAGAATCTGTCATTTTGAATCCGGAAAACGCAATCGAACAGCTCGAGAGAAACTGAGACCCGACGTTGCGATAGAAGTTGCGATGGCGAAATGGCAAATCGGCAGTTCGATGCCGTCTAACTACACACCGCCTTCTTATCGATAAGCGACTCGCACTAACTAGAGTTGGCTAGTACACTTCCTTAGCGCAACGCTCTTCTTGGCATGGCTAAGCCTATTGCGGGCAAGTGTTTTACTGCCCGTGTGGTTGCTGCGCAACGACGGCGGTCTAAACAATTGCGACTTTTTGGATCGTCTTGAGGGCTTGCTTAAACGTCTCCGACTGCATGCCTTCATCAACTCGATTCCTTTGGGCCTTACGGTGATACTAACGCAGCAGGTTTAGCTCCGTCCACTTCCACGTCCATGCATCAACGTTTGCCATAGCTTCCTTGCACGATTGATTATTGCATCATGGCAATCGCATTGGCAGAAGCGGACAAGTATGAGGTACTTGAGAGGATAGGTGAGGCGGCTACACTCAATTAGTTGTGTTTTTGAGCACGTATCTGACAGCCATACAGGAAGCGGCTCGTTTGGGGTGATTAGAAAGGTCAAGCGGAAGACTGACGGATACGTATGTGCTGTTCTCCCATGGTGCACCGGTTTCGCAAAGGGCTCACAGAAGACTTCGTTGCTAGATCCTATGCCGCAAGGAAATCAATTACATAAAGATGTCCCAGAAAGAGCGCGAGCAGCTCACCACCGAGTTCAACATCCTCAGCTCGCTTCGACATCCCAATATCGTGGCATATTATCATCGGGAACACCTCAAGGCCACCCAGGATCTTTACTTGTACATGGAATACTGCGGTGGTGGAGACCTCAGCATGGTTATCAAAAATCTTAAAGCGAACAACAAATTTGCCGAGGAGGAGTACGTCTGGCGCGTCCTCTCCCAGCTAGCGACGGCCCTCTACCGGTGTCACTATGGTGTTGATCCTCCAGAGGTTGGATCTAACATATTTGGTGCATTAACATCTACTAAGCCGGTAGGGCTGAGAGGGAAGCAGGCTCAAGTGATGATTCTGCACCGCGATCTCAAACCCGAAAATAGTAAGTAGTCTGGAATCGCTCGGTGTTGAAGTATATCCCTAATATATTGCAGTTTTTCTTGGAGCGGACCAGTCGGTGAAATTAGGAGATTTTGGTTTGTCAAAATTGATGGGCTCTCATGACTTTGCGTCAACCTACGTTGGCACACCGTTCTACATGTCGCCGGAGATTTGTGCCGGCGAGAAATACACGCTTCATTCGGATATCTGGGCAGTTGGTTGTATTATGTATGAACTTTGCACGCGCGAGCCCCCATTCAATGCCCGGACGCATATCCAACTCGTACAGAAGATTCGCGAGGGAAAATATCCACCACTTCCAGATATATACTCACCAGAGCTCAAAAGTGTTATTGCGAATTGTCTACGCGTCAATCCGGACAACCGACCCGATACTGCCGGACTCCTTAAATTGCCAGTGATTCGCCTGATGCGAAAGGAAAAAGAGGTTGTTGACTTGGGTAAGGCGTTGCGGACCAAAGAGGAGACGGCATTCCAAAAGATGAAGGAACTGGAGCTTAGATGCGCCCAATTCGATAAAGAAAAAGCAGCCATGAGAGCAGACCTTGAGAATTCTGTTCGCCGCGAGTGGGAAGTCAAAGCAAGACTGGAGATTGACAGGCAGGTCCACATGGAGATTGACGCTCTCCGAAAACGCTTTGAAGCCGAAGTACAGGACAGAGTGGTCGCAGAACTTCAAAAACAGAGAGTCTTGCAAGGCCAAATGCTGCCAAACGAGGACGATAGCATTGGCTCATCGACGGACATCTCGCGCTCCTCGGTTGGAACCGACGACACCGACTTCCCATCATCAACTGATTTGAGCTCCCTTTCGCTCGAGTCGCCAAGCTCAGACCACAGCAAAGCTGCACGAAAGTACAATAGAACGCCGTTTAGCCGTGCTAAAACTACCTTGGAGTCCCCCATCGATGTGCAGATGGCAGAGCCGTCCCCGATGTCGATTGCATCACTTTCGCTTTCCCCGCGGCGCATGCATCTCGGTTCCACGGCGAGAAATATCTTTGCTGATGGCGGAAAAAAGGTCCCGAAATGGGATGCCGCCCTTATGTACTCAGATGACGAGGAGGACATTCCAGATCTCCCGTCCCCGAGTCGGCCACAGGTCAAGGCGGATCCTTTCAAAGCTCCATACCGGCCGCTGCTACGACAAAATACCACGGCAATGATGCAGAAGCTCAGCAATCAACCTAGCTTGTTTCCCACAAAAGCCCCATCACAGAGCGCGCAGTCTAATTCGCAGCCAGAGATGCGTACATCTGAAGCACGAGCAAAATCACCCCATCGCCGCTTGTCGAAAATTCCATCATGCACTAGTCTGGCTCTTGATGGAGGGTCACCCAATCGCAGGACTGGGATTAAACCACCCGGCTCCAAAGCGAATGCTGGGGGAGAAGAAATGTTCAAAGCAGTGATGCAGAGAAATATGGGCGGGCGAACTCTCGTTGAGCTAGCTCAGGCTCGCGCCGGTGGCAGGTCTCTCGAAGAATTAAAACGTCCCGGAGAAAGCAGGGCTCCAATCACCGGGCCCATTCCGGCGAGGGTTAGCGAAAGAGATCCGCCTGCAACCTGGGATCCGGAGAAGGACGAGATGCCTAGCCCCTTTCTCGCTCGTGGCGCCAAGATCCTTCGAAATCTTCGTTGAATGTAAAGAAGCTAAATATTTGAGCCAAAAGCGATCACGGCGCCATTGATATAACGATTATATTTTAAGCGGATGTGCATGATATACCTTTTGTTAACATCTCCACGACGTTGCTGAGACGCTTAGGAAAGGTAAGGCAACGCGAAAGGCTCGCTTGATAAGCGGTGCTCCTGTTGGGTATTATGTTTTTTGGGTTGCAACCTATCACTTGTCCGCCTGCTTATCCATTCGCTTGATTGATGGGTTCTTTTGAGGAGTTTACTGGCGTCGCATTTGAACGGTGCTTTTTGGGCGGATTGGATGGTTGGTTTCTTCTCTTGTCCTTCGCTCAATGATTTCAGGGGATCGTAGGCGTATCAGCACTACCAATCTCGCTTTTTGGCTTTTCGGGGATCAAGCTATGATGTTCCGCACGACTTTCTTCATGGTTTCTTGATGCATCTACTACGGTACCAGTCCGATTATCATTGATGCGCATTTTGCACCCACCTGCCTCTCTGCCTTTTGCCGGGTTCAGTCCCATTTTATGACCTCTAATAACCAAAGCCTTGTCAGGCGTACGATTTTCGTTTTCACTCTTTATGTTGGCGGTTGAATTGGCTTTCTAGACATTGCTCGGAACTTTTGGTCTCGCCTTTTCCTTTGGTATACTAGGTGTTTGAACTAGGCGCGAATGACAAAGGTTTTTCTACTTCATACAGGCGATTGCCATAGAAGCTGCGAGGGTTTTTACTTGGTGCTTTGATAATATGGATCAAAACACAGAGATATAAATTGATAATGATGCTAAAGCTCAACAGACGAACCATAAACAACATCACCTTTCAGGACCGCAGACTTGTGGGTAGTGAGACCCTATCATTCTGCTGCCCAGGCCACAAGATCTCTGTTTCCCACTGTGAATCAACAGGTCCTGGCTTTCACAAACCCCACGGCCAGCTAATCCTCATCGTCCATTGCCAGATATGCGCCTTCGCCCGTTGGCATCCCGAGGTTCGTCTCCGTAATGTGTAATCGATTTTCGGACCATGCTTAAGCAGGTCACAAGCAATTGATATAGGTGTTGCCACTGGGGGTAAATGGACCACACGCTCTAGTCATACTTCCATAGAGCAAGTTAGCAACCCACCCGCATTGACCGGCCAAGGACCTGAGACGCCTGGAGGGTAAGAGTCATCCTGTTGATATGTTGGAGCATGCAACGTTTCTCAAGAATCCACTTTCCTGATAAAAGAAGAATATCACTATTCAAAGCATCTGTAATTCTTTTGACTGAACACACACTGGTAATGAAACAGAATAGATTTGCAGGGCTTGAATTGTTTGTTATATCTTTTGTGATGGTAGAGTCTTCTATTCATGCTGTTTCATGAAGTTTGTTGTACTCTGTACTGCTCAAGAACTTTCTCAGGTAAGTCAAAACTGATTGAAGAAAGTCTGTATTTGGACAATCTTGAAGATATTCAGCCACTATGAACTGATCATAATAGAAACTGATATGTTTTACTGCATATTCAGTAATGAACATTTTCATTTGGTAAGAACTTTCGGGCATTCTCAATTATCTGAAGATAAACAACGGCAAAATCTTTCGTTGTGCCAATGCTCAGGGATTGGATTTCCTTCGTTGTTATCCTCAGTGCTGTTAGTTCTGGCTGAAGAAGATGTTCTAGATGTACCGTGGACCCGTGCCGACTCTAAGAAGTGTTTCAACACTGCTGGCTCTGCTGTCCAGTTGTAGTACGCCTCGACCCCGTTGCAAACTCCCGGCCGTGATACCATTACAGCCGCACCCGAGATACCACCTTCCAGGCTCAATGATACCAAATTCACCAGATTGCCAAAATTTGCGTAGCTGTTGTTATTATTGATGCAAACATGTAAGGTCAGAGTCTCCGAATCTCCACCTAGGTATTCTGGCTTTGCTTAAACTGAAACCGATCTGAAGTTTGTACGGAGAAACTGGCGACGCTAGCGAGAGCAGCTGCCCGAGCTCTCTGGCTTCGCACCAGAGCCGCAGGCCGGTTAGTTTCGGCGACAAGCTGTTGGAACTCATCACGGTCACCTTGCGCGACACAGCCAAACCTACTGTTAAAGTAGATTGGCCCGCAGAGGTCAATGACTTGTTGGGGGGTCTTGTTCACCGGTGCCTACCGACACGCAACCGTTAGCGCCGTATCCGACCAAAATTCTGTACACAGCACATACCGGGACACAGGGGCGATGGGCCTTTCGGCACTCTTCGCATTTTTTTCTACCTAGAAGGACAGAGCAGAGGTATGGAACGGGGCTAGAGACCGTTGTCGAGTGGTATAGACCCGAAGCACCAAGGTACTGTTCAATTGTCATTGATCCTTTAGATTCTCTCAGCTCTCGGCGCAGTCTTTGTGGTGACTGGGGTGGGAACGGGCAGCCAAATCTTGGGGTGAGTTTTGGTTGGTTTTGCATTTTGACGAGCGTTGATAAGCATGATTTTAAGTATTGTAATGAGCAAATAGATGCTTTTATTTTATATATTGTATTTTTTATTTTCCCATTTTTGATGTAGAAGTAGGAGAATGGTTGGAAATGAACGCCTTTTTATATTTGAGAAAATGAGCTCTTGGCTTCAAAAGAAATGACTTAAACATCACTCAGATTTGCATTTGGTGATGGCAGCACATTCACCATCCGGCTGTTGACTTGTAATCCAGTCACTGGCTTGTGCCATGGCTTTCACAGAAATGGTTCGCAGCCAGATCATACTGACAGCGATGCAGTCCAACTTGACCCATAGTACAACACACCAGCACTAGTGACTAGTCTATTTTTACTTTTGAGTTCAGTACGGCAGATCAGAATTCCATTGGCTAAAAGATTAAGGTTAAATTAGTGCGCTTCAGGAGTGAGTGGAATGAAGTGAGGTCCGTCATAGTAACAGTCAAAGTCACTCACAAGAGCTGATGAATGAGTTGCATTTCATTGTCGGCAGTAGTTACTGATATTGAAGATGATGTTGCAGCCAGCTACAGGAAGTTGGCTCAGTCTGCCAGTGTGCGGCTTTGCTTGTAATTAGTATAGGCCCAATATCCATCTGGTGAGATGCCACTGCTATGTATTTCGTAGGACTTTGAGATTTTCAGGATTTGAATTGTATCCTTAAAGACTTATACAGTCTTGCCTGGATGATCACCTCCAGTTTGTTGACTGAGCGCTGTAGAATTTGACGAGTTCATTAGAGAAATGATAATAGAAGCTCGCTAGCTGGGGTCGAACTATTAATAATCGCAAGGATCATGTGTTTGGGGTTTTCTTCCGAGGTTCAAAGGTATCATCACAATGCTCCCTAGCAGTCAATGATTCCATCCCATTCTCATAGCAACCTTAGCTGAGCGATAACCTCCCGAAAACTTCCAGCGTTAAAATACAAAATGGTACTTACACCGATAACTTCACATCGAATCCCCGGAAAGTTGCCTGTCTATTTGCAAGAAGCTAATCTACTTTTCAAAGGCGTCCTCGCCCCCAGCACCCTTCCAGCCCAAGCTAATCCGCCTCCTTTACGATTCCGCCGCCATCATCCTCACCGCCGACCTATTCCTCTTCTACACCGGCTCTCCAATCCTCTTCCCTGAACAATCAGAGATCCGCGGGAGTGCGGCCGCACGCTTCTTCATGCGCTGCGCCGCAAACACATCTTTCCCCTTCGCTCTGTGCAGCTGGTTCTTGCGAGACTACCATATCCGACGAACACACGTAGGACGGGTGATGGGCTCATGCTTTGCTTTATCCCACGCCGCTGCGGTGGGCATGTATAGTTGGAGCAGGTGGGTTGGTGGCGAATATCAACTCGCAAACTTTTGGGGAATTGCGGCATTGCACGCCACTTGGACGGGTGTGGCGCTCTGGGGATTGTTCTGCACATAGTAGATTTATACAACAATGTTATCGAAAGATTAAATTTGCGAGTTCGACCGGGTGAGCCCAATTTTTTGTCGGGAGGCAGGTTGAGGCCGGTTCCAGCTTTGTTCTGGTTTGCGGCGACTTGGATTGTAATCATATTTCTTCATCCTCCACTTCTTCTATTTGGACATGTTTAAGCTCTCGTCGAAATCGTTCTTCCTCTTCTGCGAGGGTAGCAGCATCAATATCCATGGATCCGGGTTTCTGTGCCGAATCATCGGTAGGAACGGTAGGACGCGGAGTCGAAGGGGGTAGAGCAGCTGCAACATAGCCTTCCTTTTCCAAGCGCTCCATCTCCTCCGGCTCTACCAACCGCCCCTGACCCTTAACTGCCGCCTGTTTCATCCTTACGGCTGCAGGAACGAATTTATTCACAGCTTCCTGCTGTAAATTTCTGATGGCCGGTGCCGCTTCGTAGATAGTTTTGGTTTCGATTGGAGGTTTCTCCGGTAGTCCATGAATTTGCCGCTGTTCTCCGGGTTCCGTATCACTCGTTGGTCCGCGCCGTTGGTGTTGACGTGGGATCGGAGGTGGAGTGTCTCTCGGCATGGGTATATTTCGAACGCTCTCGTCCGTATCGCTTGCATCGTCGCGTTCTCTCCGCCGATCCCATCCGTCTCTTCTCCTCTTGCCTAGTACTCCTCGACCGGCATCCCTGTCACGTCCTTGTCCGCGCCTCGCATCGCCACCACCGAATTGGGGTGCACGGTCTCCAAGAGACTCTCTTGCCTTCCTGATTGCTTTAAGGTCCTTTTCTAGGCCTTCGAGAATCTGTTTTTCCCGTGGTCTCAGTTGTTGCCCCGATTCCTCCGCCGACTTTAGCTCATCGATCTGCCGCTGAAGGCGCTCCGGGTTCCGACGCGCCAACTTCTCATTTCGACGGTTCTGTAGCTCGGCTTTTCCTTTTTTGAGGGCCCGCTGCTTCTCCAACCGGCGTTGGGCTTGCGCTGGGTTGACGCTGCGTTCCTTATCCTTGGCCATGGGGTAATAATGCCCTCGAATCTAGAATGCGAAGGTGTGACTGAAATGGTTGAAATACGCAGTAGCTTAGAGTTAAGTGTGATCAGAGCGATATTTGGCTGCCTTTGTGGTAGTTGCGGGTCTCGAGCACCGAACCATGGAAAGGCTAAGAGGCAATCTACCTAAGGCGTGTAAGCTCCACTGGCAAGACAAGCAAGCTGGTTGGACGTCGTTCAGCAACTGCTCACCACCAAGTTCCTAATTCCTGCAGGTTCGAAATCCAGGGAGATGTCTTAAATCCAATGGAATTTGCTGGCATGTCCGGGGGGCAAGGTTCTGAAGCCTCACAAGTTGGGCATCGGCAAACTTGGATCGCGGAGAAGCGAGAGAATCCTATCCAATATTCGAGGCCGTCCGGAATTTGAAGAACAAATCAAGAGTGGAGGGTAGGGTGCAGCTTGGGGCTGGAATGCGCTGCCAATATCGCCAATGAGAGGTCCTTGATGAATTTTTCGTGCAGAGGGCGTCGAACGTCTTCTGGAGGCCTTGTTCGCCTCCCCGGATTGCTTCTTCCAAGGCTGCACGCGTGATAAGAGCTTTGACTTGAATTTCTTTTTTTCTTCGATTCACTGCGGGAGAGAATTGGGGTCAGCGTCAAGAGCCCGGTTCTGGAGTCAATTGATGAAGCGCTAAAATGGTGCGTACCTTCGGCATTGAATCTTGGCCCCAGGCGGGAGGCAAGGAGGAGGCTGGTTGAAAGCTCCTTGAAGTACAGCGCAAGCGGTTTGGCATCAGTGAGAAATCAGCATTGGTGCTTCGGGTCTCGTCGCAAGTGATTGTTGTTGATCTCTTTCTCCTGAGAATGTTTGTAATTACTTTTGTCGCTACTCCACAAAGGGTCACCAGCACATCCCGTTCCTAGACCTCCATCGCTCACACCGTTTAGCCGTTTATCGATGACTTCAGTGCCTTTTCTTTCAAGGACTGTCCCGGAGCATCACTGACAGCAAGGTTCCTACTGTCATATGAATTAGTCCATTTCCAGGTTGCCTCTCGCACATCCTTGCGACGTTGAATCCGCCTTTGCAGCGGTCCTCCTGTTGGTTGGCGGAGTCGAGTATCGAATACGTTTTGCAGCTCAAGACCACAGTTAACTAGATTTCGGGCATATCCAAGTGTTATTGAGGAAGTTTACGATATCTCAAGCGAAACTCGTCCGCCCCAGAAGCCCGCGCGTGCTCTCCTCCTTTCTCCATCATGCTCGACCGTCAATTCCCTCTCTCAAGCCCACTCCGCATCTTTGTCGAGCATCGATTGTAATAGTATGTCTTTGACATACAAGTCGATATCCAATGTCCACGTCAATGTCCGTTCCTGATGCCCGGCTTGGCCTCACATCGTCTGAGTGGCAGATGGTTGTGCACCAACAACAGATCGCTCTGCAGAGCAGCCATAACGGCAGCATGGTGTCGCGGGGGAGAGGTATGGGGAGGAGCACGTCAAGCTCGAGAGCTGCTAGTGCTGCAAGCAGCCACGGAAGGCTCCTTTTAGACCCCGATAGTCTCCAGGCTTTATATTATCAACTCGACCACTTGCTACGAGATATTCGAGGAAGGATTGAATATGTAGGTTACCCTCGTCACTACTTTGTTAACGCAAGTTCAAGAAGCTGTCTTTTCCCCCATCTCCACTCTGCCGATAGTTGGTGCCCTGCTCGGATTGGTATCCGGCTTCAGGAGTCCTGCTTCACTGGCTGCATGCTCTTTCCGGTATTCCTGCCGATTGTGAGAGACAAGTTCTAACACTGTGCAGCTAAATGAGCAATCAGAAATTTCGATACAAAATACCTATGACCAGGCCGGAAACATGATCGCAGATGCAGATGCGGAAATAGCACGCGTCCGGCGTATCATTGCGTCGATAGACGAGCTGGAGCTGGAATTTGACAAAATCAAGCGGATTAGAGATATTGTCAAAGGTTTCCGTGCACGAGTGGAAACCTTAGACCATCGCTTAGATCAAGCCTCGCGCAGAAGGCGTTGATACCGTGTTTCCCCAGTGTTGTTTCATTACAACGAGCACGACATCTCATATCCTGGACTCACCCATCATCTATTATATGGGCAGCAGCTAACGCTTACGGAGATTTGTATGATGACATGAAAGAACGGCTTTTACTGACTTATATGTAAAGAACACCTCTACACCAGATATGGCTGCACACCTTTCCCCCTCTTTTGCGACGACTGAACGGCCAGTGTTTCGTCTGACTTCCTAATATTTAATCTACAATTCACCCCCAGCAGCCGACATTCCCCGACTCTATACCTTAACACTACAGCCTACCCAATCGCCTATTGCCTCGGATTTACGCAATCTTTGAAGCCAACCGCTTGTCTAATAGCCAGAGCTATACCGCTTCGAGTCGCAGAATTTATATCTTCTTGGATTTTGTAGATAACGACTTTAGTTCCTTCTCGTTGCCCTATCTTATACCCGCTCAGTTTCATGCAGACTTTTCTTCCTCGAGCTACTCTCTCCATTTTACGATGAGTTCGTTAAATTTGCTTTTTACCTTCTTGTAATTCTTTTCTCATTTCCTTTACTTTTCTTGTGGTTTTGTAAGATTGGGACATGCCTCACGGCAGGACAGTTTCTCTTTGATGTTTGTCAGTTCTGTTTGCTCAAGCTTTTATTTGAATGACGCTTGAACAATGTTGTTTATCGATGGTTGTTTGATAGTAATGTCTAGTCTGGTTTGAACACAATCCTCCTGTTTGGCTGGTATTCTACAGTAGCAGGTAACTGCGGCGAAGTTGCGCTTAAGCCAACTCTGGGAGTGGTTGCGCCAGTAACTATGGAGGCTTAGGTATGGCGGACGATGGGCGAATCGGGGGTATTATGTGCTCGAAAAACCGCCGCATCTCGACCGCCGATTCCACCTCCACATCTAAGCGTTCGCAATAACCCTCTGTGCTGTGAGCGCAGTTGTAAGACCAAGGGGGTGGTTTGTGTGCGTTGAGCTCCAAAGCTCGATCAACTTGTAGTGCGCACTGATTGCACCGGGTACTCCTAGTATCTTGCCCTCTCTCAATCAGGCCACATATCAAGCTCATACGGCGATGGGTTAAACCATAACTGACACGCCCAGATAACATCGTCAACCCCCAACGGCTTCTGATTTTGCTGTATCGTGAGCGCTTCGTTGGCGTTCCACTAATTTTGTCGTCCTCTTATGAACTCGCGGGTACCGCTTTACGCTCCCGCAAACGCAGCACTTGATAACCAGCACATCCGCCCACGGCTTTTTCCCACCGCGACTCGCATTTTTAATCTCTTTGGCACAGGTTGATCCTGGCACCAAGACGGTATCACATCGTTTGCATAGAGAATGTTTGATCTCTCGAGATAATCTCAATTGGGATTTCAACGAAACAACCCGCGCCTGGGAGGCGTACCGGCGGGCCAGATACGATGAGCATCCAATGCCACCAGGCTGATCTAGACCCTGGATCCCACTTTCCCCTTCATATTGCTGTTCAACCGATTCGTTTCCAACACTGGCGCTCGTCGCTGTTCTGTCGGTATTGCTTGTTGGAGGTGGGTGAGCGGACTGGAATAAGAGCGCGGCTTGGTGCAAATATGATATTCTTGCACGGAGATGGCTCTGCGCTGCGCCAGGAGCACCTTTCTGAGCCTTCGCTTTCGCCATGAAACTACCAGCCTTGAGATAGTCCGTCTTTGACTCTTTGTTACAGCCTACAGGAGTTGCTTGGTCCACGTTCGATTAGTCATTAGAAGCTGCCAAGGCTTCCTTGCTTCCAGCCAATCAGCATGCGCCAAGCCCCAGTTCCGCGGCAGCTTCGCCCAATCCGGAAACCGCAAAGTTTTCAACGCCACTGTGGCGCGGCTATTTGCATGTGACCGCGCTAGGCCGGATGCGGCTAGTGCTGTTTCGCGGCTCCGGGCGTGCAGTCAGCAACTCCAACTTCAACTTCGACTTCTTTCCATTCAGCTTTTCCATCAACGACCTGCTTTGTTAATCGCTCTTCCACGTCTTCGATTCTATTCAAACCTTGCATTGGTTGCTTCCGTTATCTTTGTTGTAATCCACTCGGGCTTCATATATAGCCTGATTGCTTCCTGACGCCCTTTATTTTCTGCGATCTTTGCAACCCACGCGTATCTGCACCGCCCTCTACAAAAGCCTTATCACCATGTCTCACGAAGAAGATTTGATTGATTACTCCGACGAGGAGCTTCAGACAACCGATGCCGCAGCCACTGCGGCTGCCCCCGCTACAAATGGAGCCGCTGCGAAAAAAGGTGACTTGACCGTCGCGGGCGCGCGTGCGGACAAGAAGGGTAGTTATGTTGGCGTCCACTCGACTGGTTTCCGCGACTTCCTGCTAAAGGGGGAGCTTCTACGTGCGATCACCGATTGCGGTTTCGAACATCCTTCGGAGGGTTAGTGTCATCTTTTTCACAAAGCTTTCCTCCACTTCCTGCATCTTCCAACGTCCGTCCATCACGAAACACTGGGTGATCATCGAATCTATGCATCGCGAAGCCTGCAGGCGGCACGAGGATACGCCTTCGAGAAGAGAGAAGAATATTGCATCGCTGCTGCATCCGGTGTCCTTTACGTTTCCCCGCGGGATTCTTCAGGGCCTGCAGTAATGAGTTTTCTCCAGTGCACGTTCACTGTTGATGCCTCATCATGAGTGACATATTCATCGTTTTGACATGGAGATCGATCATTTCAGGGTGAAAAACACCTGGTTATGGAATCGCGTCCTCGTGTCGACCTGCGAATAGGCTTCGAGTTCTTTTGAAAGAAGCGTACTTATTCGGACTATTTCCTGTTGTTTACCCGCTCTTTTTTACCGGATTGTTATCTTGTTGATCTTCTCATCAAAAACCCTCGCGATGGACGGACGTTTGGCCTCTTTGCGTCAATCATGCCAAGTTTTGAGCTATGGATCGAAACCAAGTCTAACATGTCCCTCGCTCCTCACACAGTCCAGCAAGTTTGCATTCCGACCGCTATTCTCAATGTCGACGTTCTGTGCCAGGCCAAATCTGGTCTCGGAAAAACGGCTGTCTTCGTCTTGACCACGCTGCACCAGCTTGAGCCTGTTCCCGGTGAATGCTCAATCCTCGTTATGTGCCACACCCGAGAACTCGCGTATCAGATCAAGAACGAGTATGCAAGATTTAGCAAATACCTCCCGGATGTCAAGACTGCGGTCTTCTACGGTGGAACCCCAATGCAAAAGGACATTGAAACTCTTTCCTCCAAGGATACCTATCCCAACATCGTCGTCGGCACTCCTGGTCGATTGAATGCTCTAGTCCGCGAGAAGAAACTTTCTCTTCGAAACATCAAAGCTTTCGTTCTCGATGAGTGCGATAAGATGCTTGACCAGATTGGTAAGCACGCCCTGAACCCGCCCATAGGGCCAAAAGTCTCTGACATTCGATAATTTCAGACATGCGACGGGACGTGCAGGAGATTTTCCGCGCAACTCCAGCCGAAAAGCAGGTCCTCATGTTCAGCGCCACTCTTTCCCAAGAGATTCGCCCTATCTGCAAGAAGTTTATGCGCAACCCACTTGAGGTTTATGTCGACGATGACACTAAATTGACGCTTCACGGCCTCCAACAATATTTCATCAAACTTAGTGAGTCGGAAAAGAATCGGAAGCTGAACGAGCTTTTGGACAACCTTGAATTCAACCAAGTTATCATTTTCGTGAAGAGTACCTCCCGTGCAAATGAATTGGACAAACTTCTTCGTGAATGTAACTTCCCAAGCATTGCAGTGCACTCGGGCGTGTCACAAGAAGAACGGTAAGACTTTAGAGACTCGAATCCTGGGTTCCTCGAAACTAACACGATCTTTTCGTAGTATTAAACGGTATAAGGAATTCAAAGAATTCAACAAGCGTATTTGCGTTGCCACTGATGTCTTCGGCCGTGGTATTGATATTGAACGCATTAACCTTGCTATCAATTATGACATGCCCGCCGATGCCGATTCCTATTTACATCGCGTGGGTCGTGCCGGTCGTTTCGGTACCAAGGGCCTTTCCATTTCGTTCGTTAGCAGCGAAGATGATATGAAGGTCCTCAAGGATATCGAGAAGCGATTTGAAGTTGCGTTGCCGTAAGTCAGGTCAATTCTGTCATTCGTATGAGATAGATGTCTGACATGCTTATTTAGTGAATATCCCGAGGAGGGAGTCGACGCCAGCACCTACATGGCATAATCTGCGGCTTCGCAAAAGCTTCGATTTCTTTGTGTGCAGGCTATGGGGCTGAAATCCTTAATTCTCTCTACTTATTTTCTCCGGTTTTGTCTCAATAGCTCAAAGGGATTTTCTGGTTTTCAAATTGTGTTGATGGTGTCTGATTCTCAAAGTTTCACTTTGCTCCTAATGTCCGAGTAGTTTGCGAATAGGGGTGGAAATGGTACCTCCCAGGAATCAAAAGCGTTCTACCGAACCATTTGCTTGTTCGTTTTGATATCATCGTTTCGTTCATTGTTGATGACTAAGAACATCGCCTGCCCAACACGCCCTAGACGGTTGAACGACGTGATCAAGGCCGAGTTATTCATGGGACTCTTATTGATATGGCTCGCTCATCTCACGTAACTATTCAACGTGCTCAGACTGCTCGAAACTGTAGAAAACGCTGGCGGGAGGAGAGTTCAAAGCGCCCAGACTATCACATGCCCCGAAATTTCCCCAAGAAAACGCCCTGGTTCCCTATTTTCGACCGTGTCGCCTTCTCTGGCTGACCCTGACGTCGATGAAGGTCATCTGCGATCACTGCTCCACTCCCGCCTCTTGCTCCGTCCATGCGCGTATCTTCTCCTCGTCCATCTGCCTGTCCAATGGCCTCAGCGTCAGCCATTCTCCGTCAACTGGTGAGCTGCAAATCTCGAATCCCCCGCGATGCCCGATGTCGAGAAGGGCCATGACCGGTCAACCCAGAATCAGCGGCAGACGCCTGGAGAGCTTGTTCGCAAGACGCGCGCCGAAGCCAGCAATACGCTTCTCCCTCGCCCGGTTGCCTCTCTGGTGACGCTCTTCGCTCACTCTACCTCGCTTTCGCTCCGTGTTGGCACTTTCCTTGGTGGATTCGCGATCGATAGTGTGAGAGCGACAACTCTCACGGGCCTTGAGTTAAGTAGGGCGGTGGTGGAAGGTATTTTGATAAGGGCCGGTCGAGATGTTGTCTCCAGAAGTAGTGACGATTACGGGAGAGCAGAGACTGAATCCTTGTTGGAGCGGAGCGTCAGTATTTTCCACTCGCATCACCGCGACGAAGATATAATCATAGAACTAACATGGCCAATAGCTAGCAACTTTGCATTCTACGATAACATCTGCATCTTTTTTCGCGTCTGCCAGCTTCCATCTCTCTTCAACCACATTATCATCGGTCGCTCACTTCTCTCAATCGCTGCTGTCCACTCTCGATGCGATCCTTGGGTCCTCAGAGTCCTCGCGCGCTATTGCAGCCATTGTCACCTTGATTCGAAGAGAGTTTCGAAATCCGGAAACTGGTGCCCGTGCGGACAAGGTCGGTATCGCCGATTTACTTGTGGGATGCATTGGATTCGCCATGCTGCAGCGATGGGGGAGGCGAAACACAGAGAGAGAGTTTAGAGAAAATGGCAATGAAGAGATCATATGGGACGTCGTTATCCTCGATAATGGGCTGAGAGCTGATGTTGTGGGCACCCAGCGGACTGATTATCCAACCAATGTCGAATCACTGGACGCTCCGCCAACACGACCCGCGTCGTTCCTGGCCCCTGAAGAAACTGAAGGAGATGGGACGTTTCAAGCGATGGAAAGAGAATCTACTCCGTTGAACCCCTTGGGTCGGCTTGTTCCGCATGTGTCGCTACCTGCGGATCGTCAACATGCACTATCCGATGAAGAAATCCGACATTACATTGTGAATCAGCTCCCGCGCGGCTCGCATGCTACGATAACAACTGATAGTGTAACCGCGAGGACCATTACGGTGGATGTATATGATATGCATCACAACTATATTGAAATTGCTCCTCCCCCTGGAACTGCACTCGTCAAAGAAAGCTTCCATGATGGGCGCGACGCGGATGACAGCCCCTCTCTTGCAGAGACACACCTGCCAAAGCACACTGTTGTGTTCCAAACCGTATCAAACCAATCCCAAACTGCCGAGTTGCGGCCGGATAACTCTTCTTCCCAAAGCCCAATGGAAATGAATTGTTGTGAGCACCGCCCAAGGTTACCCCAAAGGCTGTCGAAGCGATCGAGAATTGGGAGCTGGGTTAATGATCCAGTTCCCACGGTAGAGGTCGAACCCATAAATGTGAATAGCCCCGAAACATCCCGACGGCCTGCATTCAAAAGGACTATATCTGAATCTTCCCTCAGCGGTTCGGAAACGCCACGTGCTTCATCACAAAGAAGGTCTGCGGCCAGCAGGGCAACCCACAGGCTCATATCCAATGCGGAGGCAAAGTTGGAAAGCATAGCCACTCTGGGAAAGAGAGCAACATCGTCTTCCACTCTCAACCACCAACCTGCCGGTTTCAACAGAGAAAGCATGGGTGCTACCACAGCTCGAATACGCAGTAAACCTAAGCAATCCACTGAACCTGGGTTGCAGAAGTCTAAACTGCTTCCGGCTATGCCCCTTGCATCAGTTAAGTTGGGATCTAGCCAGTCAGATGTTTATGGAACTGATATTTCCGCTACTTCCCTTCCGCCTAAAGACTACTTTTCATCTCAAGAAAGAGGTCTCGAGTCCTACATGGCTCGCACGGACGCATTTTCCTTGCATAAACGCCCGAAAAGTCCAGCGTCGCCTACGATTGCCAGAAATCATATTTCCAGTACTAGCAGCTTATCTAAAATTAAGTCCGATAGCGATGTACAGGGGTTATCGAGCGACATCCTTCAACCTCGCAGCCCTATGCTCTCTCGAAGAAGCTCAACCAAATCTCTTGCGCCTACCATCTATTCGTTAGCAGGTGACTCAAAGTCTTCGCTTGTTCTTGCTCCTCGATTTGTTCGGAGCGTATATGAAGACCAAGACACGCTCTCCGCTCTTTCTAGAGACGGAAAATTCCCCGGCTTGTTCCCATACAATCACCTGGTTCAGAATATACAACGATTTTCCAGATTTTCGTCAGCCTCTTACGGGTCGCATTTTCTCAGAGTTATGGGGATTTCCACCGGCCCTCAGGATTGGCAAAATGAGGAGATGGACCACCACGAGCACAGCTCATTCTATAACCACACTGGATTACCCCCTTCCACAATTCTACTCTCATCGTTTGTTGATTCTGCTGGAGGCACGAACTCCTGTGGCAAGACTCAAGAGGGTTTTCCGCTAGTCCATTATCTCGCGCTAGACCACGATTCGAAAGCCGTGGTTTTGACCCTGAGAGGCACATGGGGGTTCGAGGATATTCTCACTGACATGACATGTGACTATGACGATTTGCACTGGATGAACAAAACCTGGCAAGTCCACAAGGGTATGCTCGCCTCAGCCAAACGTCTCCTTGAAGGCGGCGGTGCGCGAGTGATGGCCACAATAAAAGCTGCTTTGGAGGAATTTACGGACTATGGCGTTGTATTTTGCGGTCACTCATTAGGCGGTGGGGTCGCCGCCCTCCTTGCAATCCTAATCTCGAGGCCAAACGACACCCACATGCATGGGCCATCATTTGTGACCGCGTCCAGTCAATCCAGTGACACGGATAATAACACCCAACGTCAGCCGGGACAGTTCCGGCTCCCGGCAGGACGACCGATTCATGTATATGCTTATGGTACGCCGGCAGTCATGAGTCCATCTCTGCGACTCGCAACAAGGCGCTTGATCACCACGACCGTCAACGGGCAAGACGTTGTTCCCACGCTATCATTGGGGGTTTTACACGATTTTCACGCCGTTTCGCTCTCGTTCAAAAGCGATGTCGCTGACGCAAGATCGTACGTGAAGTCACGCGTTTGGGATAGTATCAGTCGCAGTATCGCAAATAAATTCTACATTAACCAGCCACCGCTTCTAATTCATGCCGGGGAAGGGATCGGGGAGGACTCGTGGGCGTGGAACACGCTCAAGTCACTTCGCGCCCAGCTCACCGCTCCGAAATTGATGCCCCCAGGTGAAGTGTTCGTTGTCGATACCATGCGCGTTCTCCAACGTGATGCGTTTACAATGGACACGCCCAGCGGCGATGGATATCCGAGGCTAGGCCGGCCAGCTACGAGGGTGCAGTTAAGATTCATCCGGGATGTGGAGGCAAGATTTGGAGAGATTCGATTTGGCTCAGGAATGCTGGGTGATCACAGTCCTGCGCGATATGAGGCGAGCCTGGCGGTGTTGGCGAGGGGAGTTTTGGACAGTTGATTCGGGTTAAAGTTGGATACCCATGGAGTTGGTGACTTTTTATTATGGATGGGTTTATTGATTGATTTAAGAAATATTCCATTGTACTGTACATCCGTACTCCGTCGCAGATGTTTTCTGATTGGTTCATAGACCGCATAGACTGCCAGAACAGAAGATAAATGTGCATGCGTATCTCATATACCCAATCTTCGACAAATCAATCCATTCTCAAGCGCCGTTTATCCTGCCTAAATCAAGCCAGTCCGTTTCTTGGATTTGTGATAATTGGCCAAGGGTCCTTAATCTCTAGCAGGAATTTCCAGCGTTCAAGACCACATAGGAAGTAGTCGTCGATTCCCTGGAGCGTGCACTGGCAGCTCACATAAACTTCTGGAGTGAAGGGTATACAAGGCATAGGACGGGTCCCGGAGCAATCCCTCTCTAGGGCAGATTTCGTGGCACGGGAGCCGACGTAGCCATCATCCAAATGTCGACTTTAGATCCGGGGCCTTCCAGAGTCGATGAAGCTCCCTTGGCGAGTAGTTAGCTGGGCTCTGGGAACAGAATCCCCCAGCCCTCCCATCCCTTATAGGCAACTCAGTATGCCGCTTCGTCTCGTATACGTTTCAATTGTCGTAGCCCGTCGTCAAAACAACCCGTTGAATCGCAGGCTCAGCTCTTTCAGCCTCCTCTCCTACCACCGCCGCTGCCACCAGCACTATCCGCCCGCTTCTTCTCCCTCTCTTCGACCTCGCGGATCTGTCCCTCCAACATCTCCTTTTTCCGCACCAACCCTTCTCGGACCACCAACAAAGCGCCAATCTTCTCCTGCGGCGTCAGGTTCTGGAGTTTCTGCGCTTCCTAAAATGGACCAAGAAAGATTTTTGCATCAGTAAGCCTTTAGTTCCCCACGAAAGGTCGTAAAGAGGTGGAGGTGGAGGTTTGTTCAACTTACCTTCTTCGAATCCTGTCTCATTTTTAAGCTTGCTCCGTAGAGTGCGCCGGATGCGATGGCGACGGATAGGGTGCTGGTGATGAGGATTCGACGGAGTTTGGAGACGGAAGCCATGGTCTCGGCAAGGCTTAGACGCAATTGGGGGGTAAGAAGGTAGATGTGTTTATAGGTGTCGATTGAAGCTTTTAGTAGTGCTCTGGTCACTAGATAAATTGCAGGCTGAGGGCGACTTCTTGGCACCTTCGAGAGCGGAAGATCACCGCATAACTTCCTAGCTATCATCAGCCCACGACTTGCACCGCGGACAGAATATTGATGATACAGATTGCACACAACTAGTTAGTACAGCAGAAAAAACTACGATATACTTTGTCCTGGCTGCTAGTTGTCTCAACGAATAATAGCTCAAGCAAAAGCATGTATTTTACATAGAAAATTTTATATGTTATTTTAAAGTATAAATGACGGTAGTATCTCAGAGTTGGCAAAGCAATGAGCTCCTGGTGGTAGGAGCATATGAAAAGACGTATGCCTGACAATGCGGAAAGCAGACTTGTCTCGAAAAGCGTCAAATTCAGCCGCTGGCCAACTGTCACAACAATAAAATGAGTTGTAATTGAGCACTAATATCCCTGCGGTCGTGGGACTGGTAGCTGTTATCCGCAGCTTCTCCAAAGGCAGAATGCACGTATTCATGTTATTCCGGCTTAGTATCAGGAAGCCATCTGATATCAATGCCACGGCTCAGTTTACGAGACACGAGCTATCAGGCAGTATTAGTATAAAGTCCAAGGCATATCCAGAGCGAGTAATATTTCATACCATATCAATTTCACCAAACACAGTTCTCGGTGACCCAATTCTTGCGGATTCGAATTCAAAATTCGCATGCCAACCTTTGATCTCCAAGACCGTGAACTCCTCCCCAGTTCACGTCTCAGCCGCCAGTGTTCGATTCTCAACACCCTCTCTTCCAAATCCCCCCTCCCCAATAATTCACACCTTCCCAGCACCACTCTTCTCCACCCCTTCCTCCCCGAGCACCTTGGGCCGCCCCCATAAACAATCCCCCAACATACCCGCCCAAAAACCTCATATCCCCCGCCTGCGCACTCGTCATCCTCATCAGATTCTCCATATCCGCCAAGTGCGCATTGAGCTGCGCAGCTGGCGTGCAGTGCGCGTACTGGCGGGATTTGGCGGCGGACATGCTCGAAGCGGAGATTGCGGAGGCGGAGGTCGCTGTTGATGTTGATGTTGGTGCTGATGCTGAGACTGAGGTGGTGGAAAGGGAGGGGAGGGGGAGGGCGGAGGATGCGCCGGGTCTGGTGGTGTGAGATGGCATGCTGGTCACGGTGGGCAAGAAGGAAGGCAGGTTAGAAAATGATTTGAGCTGTGGTCATGACCGGGTGCGTTCATTGCATGAGGAGTGATGGAGTGTTTGCTTTGTTTGCATCTCTCTGGCTGAGATCGCGGTTAAACGACACAACTAGCGTGGTTATTATTTCTACACATGGGATGAATCTATCAACGTCCACATAATGGTGAATCTGCCTTTGTGCTTGCACAGAATGTTGCACACCAAATCGCCCCCGTTTGGATCCGTGCCGTTATGATCCAGCCCGAGTGGTGCAGCGCAGATATGAATCATCCAGGTGAAGTTTTTAAACCCAGCCAAATCCAGGCCAGGGACAAATGCATCATACGAATCCATGTATTAAGAGAATTCTGTAATTAACTAAGAAGACATGTTGCTCGAAGAAAAAGCGGCCATCATCGACACCTACAGTAAAGGGGGAAGGAATGGGAGAGAAGGCCATTGACGAAGACAAAAGCAAAGAAAACAGTCCGTATCCGTACCACCAATTTTCTATCATGATATCAGCCACCCGAGAGTTAAAGGGAAACACAACATTAAGCCCATCACCATATTCCTTTTTCCCTTTCATTTTCCTACGCCAGACAACAACCACAAGTTCCAAATCCCCAGGGCCCAAAGCTGATTGCAGTCGAAGGTAAGAACGTCGGCATTCCTTGCGTTTGAGACAGTGAGCTTGAGAAAAGCAAAACCGGAAAGAGACATTATGTGTTACGTGCATGTCCGAGCAAAAGGGTAAAAAAGAGCCCAAACGGAAGAAAAGCTGTCGAGCGCCGTGGGTATGCAAGGTAAAAAGGAAATAGCAAAAGGCTAAGAAGACGCAAAAGAATTACAGATCGGATTTTTGTAGAAGAAAAGGACGGGGCGGGGGGGGGGGGGGGGGGGGGAAGTATCAAAATGCAAACAGAGACACAAGGAAAAGCAAAAGACGGGAGAATAGTTTCAAATTGGAATGGAGCACACTCAAGCCATTCCCAAAGATTGTCATCATAGCTAGCCGCACCACCGAGCTAGTACTGCTATGGAGAGAATGACCAGCTGAAAATACTCCACGATTTTCGTTGAACATTACCGAAAACCGTTTTGCAACGCATTCTGCAGAGATAACAAAGGTAGCTACTTGCATTTTGTATTCGAAAAGTGAATATTGTAGCATCCACCACTTGCGGGCAGTGATGCTAGGCGGATCGAGTTGTGGTAGAATACGACCCCTGGGACAGTCCGCAGATCTCCGTTACCAAGGCAAGCATGAGATTATCATCAAGGGAAAAAGTGCGTCTGTCAGTTCGTCGGAAATTCATGTGTTAGGAAAGCGATGCCTTGACGTGCGATTGCCGGATTTATTTGCCACTGAATTTCTGGAATATGGGCGGTAGGCTGCTTTGGCTGCTGTGGGCAGAAGCTTCGGAGTCGATGTTGGCGCTGGCACCACTATCACCACTCCCCGCGCTAGCGCTCGCACTTCCTGTCAGACTTCGAACGTTTGGATGCCCTTTGGCGGAATGCGAATTGCTCACCCCAACTTGTTGCTCGATTTGCTGTGGCATGGCCCCATTGGGTTGCCCAGAGGGATGTCTTGGAACCGGCGCTCTCATCCCTGGCGGAGATCGGCGATTGGGATGGCCCATTCCATTTGGCGGTCCGTTGAAACCATCGATACCAGTTGAGCTGCGGCCCATTCCACGACCGCCAGGATGGAAACCCTGACCAGGCGACTGGCTTGTTCGTCTACTCGGCGGTGGATACGGCCCATGACCAACCCCCTGTCCTAATTCGTTGATTCGAGAGGCAGTGAGTGAATTGGCCCTCGATTCGGCATGCATCTCTCGTCGGTCAACATTTCCATAGCGGTTTGACGAATATCCCATCATCGGATTATCAAGTAAAGAATCATGCATGCCCGGAATTTCCTCGACAATTCTTGCGCTGGTGCGGTTCCTACCCATGCCAAACGCGCGGCTAAAAGCGGAAGGCGGGCGCCCACTGGCCATCTCGGGATTTTTGCGAAATTGGCCGGCGTTGTTTGCTGGCATTTTCCTGTTTTTTCGTGAAGTCACACTCATCATGTCAAAGTTATCTGGGTCGATTTGGGGCATTGGTGGAGGCGCGTCATAATAATCACCATCATCGTCAAGTGCCTCACGGTGGGACGACATTCTTCGATTAGGCCCTCCACGTCTCATGTTCAGTTCCTGTTCCTTTAGTTGCAATTCCCGTTGTCGAATGCGTAGTTCACGCTCTCTAAGCGCCAGGTCGGCCGATGATGAACCTCCATTAGAAGCACCTCCATTTTGCTGAGTAAGCTCGCCAGCAACGGCATCGTAATGAACAATATGACTGAATTCGTCTAGATTGTGGTCCTCTGCTGACGGATCACGCTGGGCCGGGGGGCCGCGTGACGGTGGATACCCATTGGGTGGGCGATGAGATCCCATAGACGGCCCTCCTCGCCTAGGATGGCCCGCACCTTGTGGGGATGAATAACTTCGACCACCGCCTCTCATATTGTTCGTACTAGGGCGTGGTGCAGACGATAATCTTGGAGGGAGCGCTGCCACCGGTGACGTCGGCTCACGTTGACGATTTTGGTTTACAACGTTGATATGATGGAGCATGGCATAAAGAGTTTCGATTCGTGAAAGTTTCACGCCACTGTCAACGCCTAACTTGATCGGCGATCCGAGATATGTTTCGACCTCCATGGGTCGTCGAGCCGCAAAGTCTTGATACATAGTGCTTGGATTCTCGGGTTGGGCAAGCATCTTTGCGATTGTGGTTTCTTTGAAATCGTCAGGAAAATTGCAGCCAAGAGCTTTAGCAAGTGCAATCAGTTCATCGATCACATCCGACACTAGTTGTCGTACTCCAACTTTTTTCAGGAGCTGTGCGTAATTGGGTGTTTCGAATAAAACACTTGCTGGATGAAAAGCAATGGGTCTAGATATAATTGAAAGTTTGGAGGAATCTCGCGCCATGCTCTTTAGAGTAACTCACTCGTAGGTAGGGATTAACGATCCCGACAATAATAATCACAAGTGTGGAAGCTTGGTTAGCCTCAAAAGAGCGGGTTGACGCCCGTGCATTGGCTGTAATCGAACGCGCCGTTCCTCCTGTGACTAGTTATAATCGATAACTAACGCTCTTCCGGATGAGCCGTCGGGAGGCGGTCCGACCCAGAGGACTTAAACAACGTGATATTGTCAGGGGTACCGAAT